CACAGGGAAATATACTCAATATCTTGTAATAACCTATAATGCAAAAGAAACTTTAAAAAGAGTCTATATTTTATATATATATATATGTATATATATATACACTTGGAATATATATACTGCACACCTGAATCTAACACAGCATTGTACATCAACTATATTTCAATAAAAATTTTAAAACAATAAATAAATCATTGGGAAGGCATTTGGGGCATCATTTAGAGATTGAGAGCCTGGGGGTCAGACAGATCCCAAGTGTCCCATGAAGTGGTTATGCGACCTAGAAGTTACTTAACTCCCCTGAACCTCCGAGTTTCCTCTTCCTGTGACGGGGATCACAGTAGTGCATTCATCCACACCTCAGGGGGCAGCAATGGGGAGTGTGTGCTGTGCTCAGTCGTGTCCCACCCTTTGTGACCCCGTGGACTGTAGCCCACCAGGCTCCTGTGTCCAAGGGATTTCCCAGGCAAGAATACTGGAGTGGGTTGTCCTTCCCTACTCCAGGGGATCTGCTCCACTCAGGGATTGAACCTGTGTCTCTTGCGTCTCCTGCATCGGCAGGAGGACTCTTTACCACTGCTCCATCTGAGAGAGCCGTGAGGGCTAGATGTGTTATCTTTGGTAAAGTGCTTACAGCAGCTTCTGTAACTATACATTAAGTGCACGAAGTGGATGATCTTTCATAGGCTTATAAGGATTATGTTCATTCAGTGCTAAGCATAAGGAGTGATCTATTAACAAGAAAAACCTAGTGATTCATATCTATCACAAAAGTGAGGCATTCGAGACTCAGAGAAGTTAGGTAATCTGTCCACACTCACCCAGTTGAAAGCATCTTAGAACTGAATATGGGCTGCTTGTCGCTCTCTTAATCCCTACGCTATCCCATGTTAATCGGGATGCAAATGGAATACTTTCTCCTTAATGTGGGCCTCGATAGACTCCTTCTCTTTGGGCTGGACTGGACCAAGAAAACCCTATCCTGTTCCCTCCCTACTGTTCCCCTGTTCCTAAGGGCAGACTCCCTCCTCACACATCCATGCACATGAGCAGCACCTGTGGGCAGTAACATGCACAGCCCTTCAGACACACCTAGACATGCAGAACTAGATCTCAGCTGAGGCTGGCACTGCCTCTAATTTGCTGCTATAAATATTAAACTATAATAATCTTCCTACATACTGACTTTCTCATATATTGGCTAATGATTTTAAGGTAGATATCCAGAAGTAGAATCATTAGAGGAAAGGATATGGACAATTCTTGGCTCAGGACATGCCACCAAACTGTTTTCTAAAAGAATCATGTAAATTTATACTGCCATCATTAATTTAATGCTGACAAGATAATTACCACATTTTAAATATTCATAATTTACACCCCTCACAATTTACATTTATGATAGTAAATTTAAAATGTACATGTGAATGTTAAAATAATTATGCTTTTTTGTAGAGACATTGTATTAATTTATTAGGTGAAGTACATTTTTTTATTAGTGATGGTAAATATATCACTCTATTTTAAAGGTTGTATTTCTTCTTTTATAAATTGTCTCTTCTGTCATTTGCACATTTATCTCTATAGTTATTATCTATAACTACAACATGGTATTTTTTACTGGTGGTTAATGAGAGAATTATGGGAAAGTGCAGAACATTTTTCAAATGTACAGCATTGTTATCCTTATTTATTTAATATTAGTACCAAAAGAGAGTTTGTTCAGAGGTTCCTGGTCGACCACAGTTTGTTGTTCTAAATTGTATTTTACTTTTTATTAATTTTTGTTGGAGTATATTTGCTTTGCAGTGTGCTAGCTTCTGCTGTATGGCAAAGTGAACGAGCTATATGTTTATGTATACCCCCTCTTTTTTTATTTCCTTCCTATCCAGGTCCCCACAGAGCTCCGAGTAGAGTTCCCTGCGCTATACAGTAGGTTCTCATTAGTCATCTATTTTTCCATAGTTTCAATAGTGTGTATATGTCAGTCCCAAGCTCCCAATTCATCCCGGCCCCTTCCCCCTCAGTGTGGTTTAAATTTTAGGAGGGAAATAGAAATTGGGTACAGTGGGAACTCGCCACCATCCCGCAGCTACGTCACGAAAGCTCCGCTGCCCTTGCCCCCACTGACCTGCTCTTTACCTCTCTGCTTCTTTGCACCAGAAGAGCAGACGGCTGAGTCTTTGGGGACACCGCCCTCTCCCCTACTGTTCTCTCCAACCTGAGGCAAACTTTCTCCCACTTCCCAGAGCCTCCCGAAGGGGTGAAGGAGCCTGGTCCTTGGAATCCAGAACCATTTCCGAATCTGGAACTCTGTGACCTCTCATGGGTGCCCCACGGGAGGCTTTTTTTTTTAAACCATACCACGTGGCATGTAGGATCTTAGTTCCCTGACCAGGGACCGAACCCATATCCCCCGCATTGGAACTGCAGGGAAGTCCATGGAGGCTGTGACTTCTGCTTCTTCTGGACCCTTAGTATTGGCTTTCTGGCCAGCACACCTCAGATGCTCGCTCGTCACTGAATAAACCAAACCTGCCTTCTGGAGAAGTCTCTTAACTGATCACACCTACCCAGCCAGAAGTTAACATTCCAGAGCTCGAGCTCTCCTTCTTCTCATAGTCTCAGAGCAATCGCTCTTCTCTGGTCAAAAATCTCCTTTTCCTGTATGTCCTTAGCTGGTTGGGACCACAACCTTTCTTCCTTTCTAACACACCCTTTCTCAGATTCCCTTCTTTTCTAATAGCTTTCATTTCACCCTCTCCTCTGGCCTGTCATACTCTGCCTTTTAAAAACATGAGCCTAAAGGAAACAAAATGACTTTCCATTTATCCTGCTTCTCCTTCAGAAATGTACTGTGACTTCCCTTTATAATCATAATTCCAAAATTCTACACCATGCACTCATCATGAAGGTAGTGTTGGAGGAAAGTGTAAAGAGAGTGGATGCTAGTCCTAACTTCTCAGAAAAGAAAAGGTGGTTTCAGTTTAAAACCACAACCACTGCGTCATGTCTCACAATTTCATGGATCAGGAATTTGGGCAGAAGTCAACTGATATGGTATGGTATGGTCCCAACACTTCATGGCAAACAGATGGGGGAAAAGTGGAAACAGTGACAGATTTTATTTTCTTGGGCTAAAAAATCACTATGGACAGTGACTGTAACCATGAAATTAAAAGACGCTTGCTCCTTGGAAGGAAAAGTGAAAGTGAAAGTCGCTCAGTCGAATCTGACTCTTTGCGACCCCATGGACTATATAGTCCATGGAATTCTCCAGGCCAGAATACTGGAGTAGGTAGCCGTTCCCTTCTCCAGGGGATCTTCCCAACCCAGGATTCGAACCCAGGTCTCCCTCATTGCAGGCAGATTCTTTACTAGCTGAGCTACAAGGGAAGAAAGCTATGACAAACCTAGACAGTGTATCATAGAGCAGAAACAACACTTTGCCGACAAAGGTCCATATAGTCAAAGCTATGGTTTTTCCAGTAGTCATGTATGGATGTGAGAGCTGGACTATAAAGAAGACTGAGCTCTGAAGAATTGATGCTTTCGAATTGTGGTGCTGAAGAAGACTCTTGAGAGTCCCTTGGACTGCAAGATCAAACTAGTCAATCCTAAAGGAAATCAACCGTGAATATTCATTGGGAGGACTGATGCTGAAGTGCCAATATTTTGGCCACCTGATTCAAAGAGCCTCTGATGCTAGGAAAGACTGAAGGCAAAAGGAGAAGGGGACTGCAGAGGCTGAGATGATTAGATAACATTATCAACTCAATGGACATGAATTTGCACAAACTCTGGGAGATAGTGGAGGACATGGAAGCCAGGTGTGCTGCCATCCATGAGGTTGCAAAGAGTCAGACACGACTGAGGACTGAACAAGAGCTGGATGACCCTTCAGTCCTACTCCATCGATGGAGATCACTCGGTGTTTTCAGCTGGCAGGAGGGTTTATCTGAAGAGCCCAAGGTAGCTGCACTCTCATGCCTCCTGTCTTGATGGGAAAGGCTGGAATTGCCGACTTAGGGCCTCTCCAGCATGACAGCCTCAGGGAGCTTGGATTTCTTACATAATGACCAAGCGTTCCTAATGTTTCCTTAGGAAAGGACTTTACAGTCCAGCCTCAGAAAACATCAGTGCTGTCTCATTTTATTAGTAAGGCATGTTCCAGCCTTCCTAGACGCAAGGGGAAGAGACATGCACCTTTGTCTTTTGATGAGAGGAATTTGCGATTATGCTTTAAAATCACATCAGATGGAACCACTGTGAAAGACAATGCATAGGGCTGGTAGGTTGGGTTGTGGGTTGCAGATTATCCAGTTGTTAGCGGTTCACATTTTATGCATTATAACGAACCCTCCCAATCTGCTTAGCCATCATCCTCACAACCTAATAACTCCACCACACCTGCACTCCCTCAGAAGACCAATTATGTTAGAGCCAAATCCAATACTTTTCTTTGTTTTTATTCTTTTGACATTTTTTCTAAACATTACAGTATGACTGCTTGACAGACCCAAACCTTCATTAATTATATTCTCAAATGCCATAGTTCTATGACTGAGGACACTGTTTCTTTCCTAATTTGACCTTTGATAAGGTCATTTTTCCTAGACCGTAACTTTGGGGATCCCTATAGCTTGACCCTTGACTCCTTTTCCTGAGTATAATGGATACTCATTCCCACGTAAGGTGTGGACCTTCTTGTATCGCATTCATATTGCTGACTCTCAAATATCCACACTTTACACGGGAGTGAGTATAATGGGACTAGGAAAAGGGGTCAAGGGTCACAGATGACTTGAAGGTAAGAGCTGCCCCTGGAGCCTGGTGACCTGCCCTTTTCTTGTCCTTTCCACCACACCGCCCCCGCACCCAGAATGTAATTAAAAGGAGCACTTAATCGCTCTAGCAATTTACTCTGGGTTTGCTTTCTAGAAGGTTTATTATTTCATTTGACACTCTCCTACAAAAAGTGTTCAAATGAAAAACTTTAAAAGTCAGAATGTTCTCGGATTCTGCTTGGAAGTTTCTGGAATCCCATTTGGCTGCGTGTGACTGGAAAGGTGAAAGGATGAGAAAGCAGAAAGAGAGCAAAAGGAAGCCAAGCAGAGAAGGTGTCTGCAAGGCTCCTGGGGAGTCAGAGGAATGAGAAGCCCCACTCTTGCCTTGGAGCTCCCCGGCTGGGCAGGAACTTCTGCCAGGATCGCTGAGCTCGCGCTCGTTTCAGGGACTCCCCCTCCCCGCCCTCCAAGGGTGCGCAGCTGAAGACTCCAGAAGCCCGGAGAGATGCCCAGTTTGCCAGGCTCGGGGTGCGCGCTGCTGTGCGCCCTTCCCTGCGCATCTAGGGTAGAGCGTAGACGCCGGCTCCCCAGGTGCCGAGCCAGGATGGGGAGATGGGAGGGACCTGGCGCCCCAGGACACGCCCTGCCATTCCCCAGAGACCTGGATCGGCTCAGCCCCGATCGCGATCGCTGGCGATATAAGTCATCAGCGGAGGCAGAGGGCACGGCGTGGCCGGCCGGGGCTCCAGGGAGCGCAGGCAGGCGCCGCTGCATAGACCCCGCCACCTGCCACCTCGCCCGCTGCAGCCCTCTGCCTGCCGCCCCCACTGACCAGAAGTCGGAGAGGACTGGTCTGCTGCCCGGCCGCTCAGGAGTGAGAAGCCAGGCAGAACTTCCACCTCTGGGACTGAAGCCCCGCTCCCCTTGCGCCGGAGTCCCCGTTGAGTCAGGATGGTGGGACACACAGCGTCAGACGTGCCCCCCCCTACCATGGCGGTCAAGATCTTCTCTGCTGGGGTGGCGGCCTGCGTGGCTGACATAATCACCTTCCCGCTGGACACCGCCAAAGTCCGGCTACAGGTGGGGAGTGCGGTGGGCAACGGGAGGTGCCTCGGGCGGGGAGGGGACCTCGACTGTGTGCGCTCCTTTGACTCTGGCTGCGGTTTTACCATCCTTTCTCACGTTAGGTAGAGCAGGTGGCCACGTTAAAAAAGTTTGCCTGTCAATGGATTTAGGGTGGGAAACTGGAACATTTCAGAAAAGAACTAAAGAAGTGGGAGGGTCATGGAGGATGGGTTGACTGTGACTGTTGCCAACCTCTCCTGTACATGATTAGACGGGCACAATCTTCCTATCCTACTGCCTAGGGGTTCTGGAGAGTTCCTGGGGGTGGAACAGTGAGGTGTGGGATGGGGAGGATGTTCAAAGTATGCCTAGTAGCCAGATTCTCTCCCCTCCCCCTTTCGATAGATAGATATCTAGCTCTAGATAGATAGATGTGTGCTAAGTCGCTTCAGTCCTGTCTGACTCTTTGCAACGCTATGGACTGCAGGCCTACAAGCCCCTCTGTCCATGGGATTCTCCAGGCAAGAATATAGGAGTGGGTTGCCATTTCCTTTTCTAGGGGATCTTCCTGACCCAGGGATTTAGATAGACAGATAGATAGATAAGGGGAGATGTTGCTGAGAAGGCGAAAAGGACTGAAAATAGAAACACAATGGAAAAAATATCTTGGCTCAAGTTTTCTCCATTGAGGACAGCTTGATGCCAATCTTTGTTTTTTCCTCACTAGGTAGTACTCCCTTTCTCAATATTCACTTCCATCTCACTTCCAGATCCAGGGCGAATGCCTGACCTCCAGTGCCATTAGGTATAAAGGTGTCCTGGGAACAATCATCACTCTGGCAAAAACAGAAGGGCCAGTGAAACTCTACAGCGGGCTGCCTGCTGGTCTCCAGAGACAAATAAGCTTCGCCTCCCTTAGGATCGGCCTCTATGATACTGTCCAGGATTTCTTCACCACAGGGAAAGAAGGTAAGCAGGCAGTGTTTCTGGGAGGGGAAGAAGTCAGAGAGACATGTCCTAGGCTCAGCTGTAGCCCAGGAAACAGTTACATACAGGGTAGTGGTCTTCATAACAAACTGGCAAGCCAACATCAATATTTGAACACACGGGACAGGGAGCGTGCTGGTGAGTGGGGAAAAGTGATGCCAGAAAGGCAGGAATGGGTCAGATCACAGGAGAGCTTGCAGGCCATGCTAATGAGTTCAGGTTTTATCCTTAAAATGATGGGAAGTCATTGAAAAATAACAAACAAGGGAATAACATAAATTATATTTTCAGAAGATCACTTTGGCAGCACTGTAAAAGCTATATAGAAAAAGGGGAAGAAAAGGGTTATTTAGAAAGGAAGAAATGATCAGGGTATGCTAAAGCAATGGCAGTAAAGATTTTGGAAATGTAATTGACTAAACTTGGTGGAGAGTTGGAAGTGAGGCGTAAAGAAAAGGTAGGAATGTTAAGATGACTTACAAGTTTCTGGTTAAATATCCCATTCATTGAGGGAGGGAATATAAAAGCCATCTGAAGTGGGGAGATAAGAAATTCAGTTTAGGATGTGTCAAGGATAGGTAATGTTTGGTTTGCATGAGAATTTAGGAGAAACACCTGGGATAGATTTCCCAGTTGTGGGAGGAATTATCATTAGGGCCAAACAAAACAGAGAGATCTGGTGAGGAAAGGAGAGATTAATGTACCTAACAGCAGAAACTTATGGGTTTCCTCAGCAAAACCATCTTGAGCAGAGCAGTAGAGGTGGCAGCTAGATTGCAGAGATGGGCTGTGAGAAGCGAAGGCAGAGTATGGCCCCGCTCCCAAGGAGCTTGGGAGATAAAAAGGGGATTGGAACACAGAATGGATGCAACAAAATAAGACTGTAAATAGGGGCCAAAAGTGAAGGGAATTATCTGAGTATCATCTTGCCACTTAAAAGATGGGTATTATTCAGCGCTCAGTTCCTGGCTAAGCATATTGAGAAAGGAAAACAACCATACAGTAATGAAAAGAATTGCTGAATTTCCCATATGCAGGACATTATGTTAAGTGCTGTTGTAATTAATTCACACAATGACTCTGTGAGGTAGATATTATTACCTCCATTTTATACAGCTTAGGAAATAGAATTAGAGACTGAGAAAGTCCTTGATGAGTAAATGTGACTGATCTATATGGGAATAGGTATGAGGCTTCATGGGTCACAGAAGAGTAGGACATGTCTTAGTGACTAAATAACAACGAGGCTCCAAGACTATTTGTCATTTTATTAAATGATATATGTCTTGAGTAACCCATGTTAATTTTTCAAAATCTGCAATTAAAAATAATGTGATCACTTCTCTCTTCTTATTTTTGTCCCTTTAGTGGCCTGTTGAAGCCTGACACCACTTGACGTCCCAAACTCGGGCAGTTTGTCCTTTAGGGCTTTTCCTAAGATCCCTACGTCCAATAATTAACAGTCTCATTGATGGTTAGAAGACTAAGCTTCACTGGTGACTGGTGCCTCCACCCAATTGGGAAATACTGAAAAATAGAGCAAATGTAAAGAAAGGACTAAGTCAAATATAGGAAAGAACTAAGCCATTGTTTAAACAAGCATTGGGTTTTCTTTCTCCTTGAAAGTCTTTATTAAAAAAACATCTCAGTCAACTTTGAAGTCTTCTAGCCCTCCTATGATTTATACATTCTTAGTATAGTCCATGGGGTGGCCAGGAGTTGGACATGACTCAGCGTTAGGGAAGCACTAAAGATAAATGACACAGTAGTACTAACCACTAAAAATTAAAAGGACATACACATGCATTCTGGGTCTTGACTTTTTTCTTTTTTGCTTGACCCACCATGTTTTTTTCCTCTGGATAATGACAGCTAGTTTAGGAAGCAAGATCTCAGCGGGCCTAACAACTGGAGGTGTGGCCGTGCTCATTGGGCAACCCACAGAGGTGATCAAGGTCAGACTGCAAGCCCAGAGCCGTCTCCACGGTCCCAAACCTCGGTACACTGGGACTTACAATGCTTACAGAATTATAGCAGCAACAGAAGGCTTGACTGGGCTTTGGAAAGGTAACTCACTTCAACATGGATTCTATAATCGTTAAAACACACGTATCCAATTAGCACCTTAACATGTGATGGAGCTATTCAACACTTTCTTTCCCTCCAGGGACTACTCCCAATCTGACAAGAAATGTCATCATCAACTGTACAGAGCTAGTAACATATGACCTAATGAAGGAGGCCCTTGTGCAAAGCAGACTATTAGCAGGTAACTTTCTTTTTCACGTGGCAGGTCTGCACATTTATAATTTCATCTTTCATTATACTGAATCCCTTAATTGTAATAATTTTATCTTTTAAAAAAGTAATACTTGTGAACAATAGATATAACCCTAAGCTTTAGAAGTTCTGCTGCAACAGTTTTTTTCTTTTGCAACAAAACTAAAATGTACCTGTATTTTTATATCAGCATCATTCTCACTTAATATTAATATAAGAGACATTTGTTGGCATCTATCTTATTCTTTATAAAGCAGAATTCAGGAAGTGAGTCATCCTGCACTATTTCCAGATGAGCTAGTTAGATAAGGAGCTTCTTGGTGGTTTCACCCAAAAAGTAGAACCATTGGGTAGGTTCCTGAAAATTTCATTCTAATAGGTTCTGGAAGCATTGAAATCTTCCTTGGACAATGACTTTAATTTTTTTTTTAAAAAAGTATAGATGCCTATGTATTGAGTATTATGTCATGCCCTAAGGACAGAGATAAGTAACTGGTTATTTTCCTAAAGCACTTATAATCCAGTATGTCATGTACCATTTGCCAACTTTTTCTAAAATTATGACATTCCTCACTGAATGTTATTTATTCATAAGACAACCACGTTGACCTCCTGTTGTCAACAGGCTTTCAAGGATCTGATAGATAATTAAAAACTAGAAGCCCCTCCCAAGAGTCTAGTGTTGACCTGTCTCCCGACGCATTTCAGACGATGTGCCCTGCCACTTCGTGTCCGCTGTCATTGCTGGATTCTGCACAACGGTCCTGTCCTCTCCGGTGGATGTGGTGAAAACCCGATTTGTTAACTCTTCACCAGGACAGTACACAAGTGTGCCCAACTGCGCGATGATGATGCTCACCAGGGAAGGGCCGTCAGCTTTTTTCAAAGGGTAGGATGTGCTCCTCTGTATCTATAATGTGGTGTTCAGGGATTCTGTGTGCTTCGGGGGGCCGTCTCATCTGAACAATTGACAGCTGACCAGACTTAGAATGGGCAGTGTACTGAGTGTCTACTTTTCTTTGCCATAAATCTCGCCAATACACCAATTCCACTGTGTCAGAAAACTTAAAGCTGTGATAGTAAAATCTTCTCAAGCTTGATCAGCGGCTCATTCGAAACTGACAGCCTGTCCCTTGGTCTCAATCTATTGGGTGAGGGGAGAGGGGAGAGGGGAGTTATTTTTTAATGGGTACAGATTCAGTTTGGGACGGAGATGGGGAGTGGTAATGATTGCTCACAATGAGAACATATTTAATGCTACTGAATTATACTATTGAGTATATATATATTTATAAGAGAGACATATATATATATACACACACACATATATGTATATATATATAAATGGCTGGCTAAAATTATAAATTGATGTTATGTATATTTTACCATAAAACACATACACACACACATTCAGGAGTCAGAAGATACATGTTGAGATCCCCCAAAATATTGGGGGGTGATCTATATAGGCAAGATCTCTAACATACCTATCCAAGGCAGATTTAACAGATTTAACATCATTTTCTCTGGGAATATTTCATTGCTGTAGACAGGATTTGCAAAATAAATCATCTGGTGTGTACAGCATGGCAGAATTCTTCAAAATAGCAAGAGCAACATAAACAACAAAATGCAATTCAGTCTCTGACCATCCCTCTTAGGACCAGAATTACCAAGAACTAGACAGCACTGATTTCTCGACCCTGGAAAATGGTCTAATTACTCATCACTTTGCTTTCTCCACTTACTTCCTCTTTTAAACTATTAAGGTTTCCTACTCTCCATACAGAAAGCAAAGGAAAACAAGATTTCCTCTCCCCTCAAAAAGGAAAAGATGATGGAGATGAAGGAGGCAAGCTTTGGTTTGGTTTGGTGGGACCATTGTATAGATGTGAACCTCTGGATTTTGTTGTTCAGAAGCAGGGTAGGGCACCTGGATGAAACTTGGGGCAGAGGAAGGAAACATGAAGAGTGGGTACTCTCAAGCACCCGCACTGGAGGTGAGGAAACAATGAGAAGCATACACCGCCTGGACTAGAATTTGTTGTTTTTCAGTTGCTCAGCTGTGTCCAGCTCTTTGTGACTCCATGGGCTGCAGCACGCCAGGCTTCCCTGTCCTTCACCATCTCCCGGAGTTTGCTCAAACTCATGTCCATGGAGTTGATGAAGGCACACACTATAATAGCTATAAGAATTTTAAGCAAACTAATAGAATGGTGACATCACTTTTCTAGATTTGTACCTTCCTTCTTGCGACTGGGATCCTGGAACGTCATCATGTTCGTGTGCTTCGAACAGCTGAAACGAGAACTGATGAAGTCGAGGCAGACCATGGACTGTGCGACCTAATCCTCCTTGGGAAGAAGATGGAACAGACTAGTGGGGGTCTTTGCTAACCAGATAATTTTAAAAAGCAAGCAAACCTATCCACTTTATTTCACCTAGATAAGGAAATTCTGGTAGAGAGTTTTGGACTATTTTTTTTCCAAGGGAAAACTACTATTTCCTATGACTTTTATTCTCAGTATTTTAAGGAAGGGAAAGCAAAACATTCAATATATACCCTGGCAAATGTAATATCCAGATAAGCTACTATATTTAACTGATTACTTAGTGGAGGGAGGGATTTTATGATTGAATATGAAGATCTTTAACATGTTTTATTATTTCAATTATTAATTGATGGAAAAGGAAAACTGAGTGAAATATACTTTGTTAATACTTAAAAACAAAGTTTCCTTTTTATTTATTAACCCCATTGTCAGTTGATATATTAAATAAAATATTGCTAATATCTCTTAAAGTTTGCCTTTTTTGGATCTATATCTAATGTAAGAGTTGAGGTTCACCTGGGTTACAAAACTTCCCAAATAACAAGGGAAGTTCTTTAGAATCAATGGGTGTCAACTTACTTTTAATGTTATTAGTACAGGCTTTTGATTTTTAGAGTCCACATTTTATGGCATCTATAACAACTTCTAATCTAAGACACTGTGTTCATTGGGGCACTGCTCTTATTAGAATCATATTATCTATCTTAGAATCACAGAATTTAGAACTAGAAGGTGACTTTGGTTAGATAGAGGAACAGATTGAGATGAAAATTAATCTACATGGCATCTTTCCAGCAAAGCCAAATTCGTCATTTGCATCTGTAGTAACCTTTTCATCTACCAGATAAGTGCAGAAGAAATAGGGAAAGAATAAACAGGAGATTAAAAGAATTAAGACAAAAACAAGGAGTGGCCATAAAATGGCCAGGTAGTCCCTAGGCTGCCAGGGACTGTGAGCTCCACATTACATTTACTATTACGTTTCTCCCCTGTTGACTCTGAGGGTTGTCTCCCGTTTATTTCCCTTAGTTGTTAACTGTAAAGCATCTTATCACAGATGCCCTCGTATCCTGCATGGATCACTCTGCTCTGACCTTTAGTGATGGTGCCCTGACTGCCTTTCGTCAGGTCAGCACCTGTACTTTTTAGGGCCTTTTTCTGGCCACCAGAGACATCTTTGTCCACCTGGGCACAGCCCACTAGGACGGGAAAAATAACACACCCCTATGAGCAGCCCTGCACCAATAACCAATGGGAGCCGGCGTGTGAATCTTAGGTCCCTCACGGTCGGGGGGAATGCCGAGTGACCAGAATCCAGTTACACTCAGTGGTATTTTGCTTATCTCTAAAACTGTTTATGGGAAGACTTCAAGTCCTGCTCTCCATCCCCCATCCCCTTACTGGTGTCTCCAGGGATCACTTCCCGAAAGAATTCCAAATTCTTGTCTTGAGGCCTGACTCTGGGAGAGTCCAAACTAAGGTAAACCACCATCTCAGAGTAGCATATTTCTTTCAAGAAGAAGGAAAATATAAAACTTCATTTGCTGGGATCCTGGTCAAGCAATGGGCAGTAGTGACAAGTTGCTACCCTTGACCAAACTTGTCAGGCTCCTCTGAGCCACCTTTTCCTCTTGGTCCTGTCCTTGGGTGTCCTCGAGAGCCCAGTTTTAGCAAGAACCCCGCTAAATTTGGCTTAGCCAGAATCTCTCACCTTCATGATCACTATTGATATCAAATTCCTCATCCTTGTCCTGGATGACTGATCACCAGTTCTTTTAGATGTTCTGTGTACACATACCTATCATTCGTTAGCAATAACTTTTCTTTCCATCTACTTGTTTTATTCCAGTTAAATAAATCTCTAGTACAATTTTGAATTTATTTTCAGTAACAATTTGAATGATTTGCTCCTCATCCCTTCTTAATAAGAGTACATTTCCCCACTTTATTGATGCTGGGCTTAGCCGTGTGATTTGCCATGACCAAGATCATGTTAGTAGGCATGATGTGTGCAAGGGCTTCAATGTGTTTGAGCAACTGAGTTTATTCTTGTGTTTCTGCCACACCATGAACATGGCTCAGGTAACCCACTGACCTCAGATGAACTGGTCACATGGAGATGACTGGAACTGAAATCATGGCCTCAATTTAAAGTTAGCTGAATCCAGCTGAGATTACCCAAACTGTCTGGCTAGCCTACCCATGTGTGAGTGAAATTGTTTTGTATGTCACTGAGATATTTTTGTGGTTCACTGTTGTACACTGTGTTGTGGCAATGACTGATAGATACAAGAGATGACAAAAGACATCCTTTTTTAATTCTGATCCCAATATTTTGTAATTAAGTATATTTGCTATAGTTCATTTTATAAAGATATATTTCATAAAATTAAGGTAATCCCTTTCTAGTTCTCATTTGCCAAGTTTTTAACATGAATGGATGTTGAATTTTTATTGAATGCTCTTTCTGTATCTATTAAAGTTCATCATAGGCCCAGTGGTAGGTTTGCTGGGTCATATGGTAGTTCTATTTTTATTTGTTTAAGGAACCTCTGTACTTTTCTCTACAGTGGCTGTACCAATTTATATTCCCACCAGCAGTCCAAGAGGGAAGGTATATACGTATACAGATAGCTGATTCACTTCACTGTACAGAAGCTAACAAACATTGTAAAGCAACTATAACCCAATTTTAAAAATAGATCATAACAGTCTTATGAATTGCAGAGTGCAAACATTAAGTTATTTGGAAGTTTGTGAAAAATTATTTTCTTTTTAAATATGCTAACTCACTGGTGAAACCCATATGAAACTGGTTTTTTAGTGGAAAGGTTTTTAATTGCTGAATCCATTTAATAGCTCCAGGACTTTTTTGTTTCTCTATTTCTTCTTGGATAGCTTTGATAAAATGTATTTTTCTAGAAATTATCTAATTTTCCTAATTTTGACATTACTCAATATATTCTTTTTAATATCTATAGGCTCTCTAGTGATTTTCATATTTCATTCTTGACAGTATTTATTACTTGCTTTCTTTTTGTTAATTTGTCTCACTAAAGTTTATCAGTATTGGTAGTCTTCTCACTTTGTTGATCCTATTATATGCATGTTTTTTTATATGCATCTAAGCTCTTGTCTTTGATATTTCCTTCTCTATTTTCTTCAGGTTTATTTGGTACTTCTTCATCAAACTCCTTGAGATGATTGCTTTGTCTTTAAAGCACTTTTCCCCTAACATATACATTTAAAGCTATAATTAATACTAACTTTAATAAGGACTGCATTTGCTGTATCAAACCAGTTCCATATTTAGTTCAAGATAAGCTACACATACACACACACACACAGAGGAAAGCTTTGCAGTTTTAAAAAACAAGTATGGAAACTATGCATTAACATACAAATAGATCCGTGATCAACTGTGAAATTAAGAAAAACATATTGCAGGATGGTATGATTTATTCCTAGCCTTTCTAAGAATGGAGGGTGGTGATGGTAGTTTCTTTTCTGCGTCATAACCAACTGTTCTTATCCAATAACCTTTTAAATTGGTAATCAGTGGATGAGTTAAAGTCATAAAAATAAAAAAATTTTCTGTATATTCTGATTTTACTCTACAGGAACATGATTAAAGGATTAAATGAAAAAAGTATTATTTCATGAACATAAATGACATGAATAAGGGATGAGGAAGATGGGAAGGAGCAGAAGTATTAATAGAAAGGCTTATGACAATTTCAACATGTTTTTATTTGCTCACAACATTCCAAACAAAACAACATTACATTTCAACTATTGCTTTTACATAGGAAGTTAACTGCTTTATTCAAAGTTGACAGAAATCTATTTCTTTATGTTGCCAACCAGCACTCTTTCCCCCAGGGAAAGCTACTGCTTAAATATTTTTTGAATACTTTAACAGAAACATAGCCTTGCCCTATAAGAGTAATGTAGTTGGGTCTTACCTGCACTACATTTAAACATTTTTCTTATCCAAAGCTGAAGCTAGGAAAAAGGCTCACTCATGATTTTTCTCAATTTTTATCAACTCCAGGAATCCTCATTTAAAAAAATCAGAGAGGTTCATAAATATGAAATCAAAATTAAGCCTCCCCAGAAGTTGGGTGGACCATTTATCCTGAGAAAATAGCTGCTGGTCCCCAATTCAAAAGGATAATAAACATTATTGCCCTTCAAGCCAAATGTCTTCTCTTTGTGCCAAGATAACATGTAATCTTTCCTGCTCTGGCAATGAACACTCCTCCTTCACATTCCTCTAATGTTTCTCCTTTTAGCAAATCTTTGACCAAGTTCTATTTCACTGAATGCAAAGGGGAGAAATAGCACATAAACAACTATGGACACTGGAATAAAAATGAAGAGTACATATATTTTCACATAGAAAAATACATACAAATCCAAGTAGCTCATTTTAGAAAAAAAAATCAGGACAGGCATTTTTAAGAAAAAGATTCTGCTTTCTCAATTATAAATGGTGCCAGTGGGACACTGATTTTTATATCTAACTATATTACCATATTTATATATATAAAGAGGGGTTGGTCTAAGTTCACTGATATCCCCTGATTTCTCTCAATTCTTTAAAGATTGTCTTTCAGAATGTATTTAAACTGCAACTTGTAATTATATTTTTAGACTACTTTTATCACTGATTCACTCTTCAGTCTGGCACACACAAAAATTCATTTCAACACTGATTAACTTTTTTGACACTAAAGCAAACAATTTTCCTTCTACTCAATTCTATCACTACTTTGGTATTTTATTACTATAGAAACAGGTAAGATTCTAAATATGGATTTTTAGGCTACCTAAAATTCTAACATACATATGTTGAAAGCAAGGAAAAGTAGGATGGCAGACACAATTATCTTATTTCTCTTTTCATGTATGTCACTATCACATGAAAATCAGAAGGCTCATGTTACATTCTAATTTACAACTGGTGACATTTAGCTTGGCTTTCAAACTATCAAATCTTAGAATCTATTGGTGGCTTTCAACCAACTTACTATAGAATTGTCTGAAATGGTTACGGATCATCTTAAACAAAAACAGAGCAATATATTATACAAACAAAGGTGGACTTAATATATTATTGAACAAAATTTCAAATGACATTTAAAAACATTATTATTAAAGAATTATTAAAAAGGTTTTTCTTCCCCCTAGGAGAAACTTAATTACTTGAAAAGTTTCCCGTTCTGTACTTGAATCATTCTTTAAAAGCATACTGACAAAGGTTCATATCAGTTCAAGACCTCATCTATTAAAAGATTAAATATAAAGGTAAGTATTTTCTAAGCGAAAACTAAAAGACTAACAATCGCTTTCCATGTAATGGTAAACACCCTGATAAAATGAACTTTAATAGCTAATACCTGATTCTTATCTCATAGAACTCTGGCTGGATGATAAAGTATAGAAAACATTTAAAGAGATGAAGTCAAGGTATTCCTAGGATTGAAAAGTCTCCCACAAGAAACCTGTTTTAAAATTCCTATAATACGGAAAATCTAAACCACTATTATAGTAAAATTGAGCCCAATTATAACATTTTATCTTGTTGAGAAAAGAAGAATTTCAATGCATGTATTTTTTTTTTTTGGCATGCACTTTTAATGTATGTGCTATACAACACCACATCTGTTATTTCCCAATTGAATATTTTATATCACTCTTCTCTTTGGCAAGTTTAAAGAGAGAAGTCTGTCAGTAGACATAAACAAATACTTGAAAGTTTTAGGTCTTGATATATCATATAAAAGCCAGTCCTTAAATGCTTGATAAGTACCACTTTAAAGATGTATTAACTATCATCACATTTTAGATTAAATTATGTATTTAATAGGCTGCTTTCTGTAGGATTTAAGGAGGATTTGGTAATCAGATGGACCTATCTTTAGACTCTTTTAGTTTTGCTATGAGTACAAATGTCAAACACACAAAGAAGAAACTGTTCCTGTTAGAATCTCATCACTTTATAACCCTTGACAGCAGTCGCTGCTCTCCTGAGATTTTCAGAGAATAAGCTATACAGAATGCACAGCCATCATCCTCAGGCTACTTTAGAATCCCACAGACCATTACAGAACACCCACAAGGTCATACATCATTATCTAGAAACATGGTGGCGTCAAAGCAAAGAGCGGCAAGACTTAACAGTAAGTAAAATCAACCAACACTGCTTAACTGAAATCTTTAAAAAGCTTTGTTTTTCTCTTGTTAAAATTCGAAGACAGCTTTATTGAAATAGCACCTGTTCTTTGAGTATAATCAAGATTTTCTTAGCAGAGCATCTCTTTTCATAAACGTATACCGACAGAGAGGCCTCATAAAAGCCCTCACACCAAGCAGTAAAATTTCTTCTCTGTAGCTGATAAAAAAGCAAATCCTGAAGATGAGAAAACGTCTTTAAAGCTTTAGAATTACACTGTGATATTTCAAAGTGTGTTATTTAAAAACAAAAGAGCTAATCACTGTCATTCTCTCATTACCTATTACATGAAATAATCAAAGAAACCAAAAAGAAGGCCATAATTCTGTCTTCTCTGACAAAGAGCGTCTCTCTGTACGCTCCTGTTGCTCCTATGAGGCAACATTATGACGTGTGATTGAGATGCAAACAAAGAGAACCATGACGAACTACTCTGTTAATTAACCTACAATAAAATAAGGCAAAGAAAAAAAAAATCATTTCCAGACTAAAATCCAAAAACTCTTAACAGAGCTTTGAAAAGATACCAACTTGATCGTTACAACACATAAAAATGAAAACTGACTTTTACACATTTTAATCAATCAATTTAACAAAAATACCTGATTTGTACTTTTACACTGAATGGGTTAAGTCCCAAGCTCCAAACTGTAGCAGTTCATGTGACTCTACAGAGGGGATCTTTGGAAGATAAGGTACCTTTGGAGGACAGTGTATTAACAAGTGTAAACATACACTGATTGTCCACTAGCTTTCTTAAATAGAATTTCTGAAATATTTTTGTAGGAAATTATATATATGGTGTGTAATTGATCAGATAATTTCTGTTACAACATATAAATTCTGCTGTGTGTGCAAAATGTGGTAGAAATAGAAGATACTACGGATGACTCATATTTTTAAAGTAAGTGACACATTACAATCCAGTAAGAGTCCTTTAATCTTTTCATGAAACTTCTCTCTGTACACGTTGAAATACATAATGCTTTCTGGCTTTTCCTCGAACCAAAACTTGTCAAATTCATACACAAGATAACCTGAAGTTGAAAACAAAAAACAAAAAACACATAAATATAGTGCTCAATAATGAAATCACACCCAACCATCTCATTTTAAAAGTGTATAACTATTTTTTAAATTCCATATTAGGATTCAATGAGCAGAAACCATCTTTAAGAGAAACCTGAAGAACTTACTAAAAAATATTTTTGTATGTTCAAAATAAATATCAACTTCAATAAGATATTTAGAGTACATTTATTCTTTGTCTCAAAAAAATCAACAAAAGTCTTCAAACTTAGATACTATCAAAAGATACTCTGAGAATAGGGGGAGAAGTTATCTCCAGAGATCCCTGAAACAGAAAAATGAAAGTACAAGAAAATGTCAGGCATGGATAAAGTACAAAAAAATCTGTGTTTTCTACTTGATTTATAAATGAGTTACTTCTGCTTTTCTCAACAAACTGTCAAGCACCTTCTCTTTTTGAAAAGAATACATGAGCACTAAATAGGCTTAATATTTTTGTTTTTCAATATCCTCATTACAACAGTCAAATTAACACTCAAAATGTTAAATATATTTAATGAAGATGAACATGTAAATAGACATATTTACAACAGCAAAATATGTGAATTTAAAACTGCTCCTAAACCCTATTTGGATTCAACCAAATGCATTTATTTAATTATTTAACAAATGCTACTATAGCCCTGGCCATGTGCTCATTCACTCTCATGGCAATCCTACAATCCAGTGCTCTGCTAGTCCCTTTCTTCTGCAGAGGAAATAGAGGTGCGGAGAAGTTAAATGACTCGCCCAAACCACAGTTTGCAAGTGGTCTCTGTTATTTTATAGATCAGACTTGGTTTCTACCAGCATCTCATTCCCTCTTCTGAAAGGCTGTTCAAGAAGTGACAGAAGTGACCTATTTCAGATAAACAGGGGAATATAGCCAGTGACTTTACATCAAAGAGTGACTACACTATCACAAATTGCATAGTATGAAATGATTGTAAATTCCATTTTAAAACATTAGTTATAAAGCAAACAATAATAGACAAGCACCACGACACTTCAACAGTGAAATATCATTTCATAAGAAGGTCAACTGAAGAAAGATTTCAGATTAATCCCTTGATAACAGATCTTTGTCAACTGGGGTATGTGATAGAATCAAAGAATAAGGCCTCTTTGAGCAGAGAGACACCATCTGCTTCCTGTTCCCAAGAAACAAGCTGAGGATGGTGATCTTGTAATTATTTTTAACTAATATTTTACATCTTTCATTTAAAATTTATTCTGTGTATGCATTATCACAGCAGTACACACTACTCATCCATATATAAATTGAGTCTGTTCTCCCGCACCCTATCCCCAGTATCATAATAGGGATGTACAATCAGAAACTTTGGAGATGTAATGCTCTTGGTAGTATTAAAAGTCAGACACCCAACTAAATTTTACACAACACAGCTAGTTTTAGTATTTCTGGCTATCAGGTTTTAGCTATTTACCATACTTTTAAATTGCTTTTCATTACCTATTCAAATGACTATACAGTCTAGAACCAACTGCTCAAGGGTAAAACACTAGTAGTTTCTTGTTTCAGAGTGAGGTGGTTATAATGTAAACTGGTGTCAGAAAAAGAATGACTCAAAAAAACGGAGACTGTAAGTTGACTTGATGAAACATGGGGAAACTGCAAGAGACGATACCAAAATTCTAGGATGCTGACAGGCCCATAAACGGCATAAGACTCCTAAAGCCTGTTAGAAAGTGATAGAAAGGATTGTTTCTATAAAGCACCTCTATTGTCCTTTGACTCCAGGAGTTTAAAACACCAGACTTGACAGAAATACCATACAAAATTTCTAAACTTACAATTCCATATATGCTTCTACTGTCCCTAACCAAAGCTGCAGGGGCACTTGAGGTTTCCCCACAGGGATTAAAAATAGGAGGACGACAGGAACAGGAATTAACAGGTATGAGGGATGTTACTGGGGTGATACAAATGTTCTAAAACTGGATTAAGGTGACAGTTGTACAAATAAGTAAATTTACTTAAACACACTGAACTGCACACTTAAAACAGGTGAATTTTATGGTATATAAATTACACCTCAATAAAGCTATTAACAGTCATAGCCTTTTTATTATACAAATTTAAGAGCTCATTTTTTGGAACCTCCACACCAGTGGTTGGTGACTTCCCAGGATGATGGTGACTGTGTGCTTACATGCTAGATATACAAAGGGTGACAACAGAACTAAGAAGCTAATTACCACTTGCCTCTTCTAGTCTCGTCCATGGAGGATGGTAACAACAAAATGGCAGGAGAGACGAGGCGGAGAGTGGAGACACATACAGATCGCAGGGAAATAGACAACGCGAAAGCTAATCTTCTTATACAGTTCTTTCTTTTAGATAGAAACTACGACCTTGGAACTGACTTGTGCGAATGAATTGGGCTCAATCTCCCAACAAAGAAAGCTATCTATGTTCAAAAGGTAAGGTTTCAAATTATCTTCCAGTTAGAATATGCTTCTTCTAATTAGAGTAGAAAATTGGACTAAAGATTTACTGAGCATGGCCCCGCTCACCAGAACAAGACCCAGTTTCCCCCTCAGTCAGTCTCTCCCATCAGGAAGCTTCCATAAGCCTCTTATCCTTATCCATCAGACGGCAGAAAGAATGAAAACCACAATCACAGAAAACTAACCACACTGATCACATGGACCACAGCCTTGTCCAGCTCAATGAAACTATGACCCATGTCCTGTAGGTTCACCTAAGACAGACGGGTCATGGTGGAGAGTTCTGATAAAACATGGTTCACTGGAGAAGGCATGGCAAACCACTTCAGTATTCTTGCCTTGAGAACTCCAACAGTTCAGTTCAGTCGCTCACCCCTGTCCGACTCTTTGCGACCCCATAGACCGCAGCACACCAGGCCTCCCTGTCCATTGCAACTCCTGGAGTCCACCCAAACTCATGTCCATTGAGTCGGTGATGCCATCCAACCATCTTATCCTCTTTCGTCCCCTTCTCCTCCTGCCTTCAATCTTTCCCAGCATCAGGGTCTTTTCTAAGAGTCAGCTCTTCGCATCAGGTGGCCAAAGTATTGGAGTTTCAACTTCAACATCAGTGCTTCCAATGAACACCCAGGACTGATCTCCTTTAGGATGGACTGGTTGGATCTCCTTGCAGTCCAAGGGACTCTCAAGAGTCTTTTCCAACACCACAGTTCAAAAGCATCGATTCTTCAGCGCTCAGCTTTCTTTATAGTCCGACTCTCACACCCATACATGACTACTGGAAAAACAACAGCCTTGATGCTGGGAAAGATTGAAGGCAGGAGGAGAAGAGGACGACAGAGGATGAGATGGTTGGATGGCATCACCGACTCAACGGACATGAGTTTGAGTAAGCTCCAGGAGCTGGTGATGGACAGGGAAGCATGGTGTGCTGCAGTCCATGGGGTCACAACTGAGCGACTGAAGTGAACTGAACTGAATCAGAGTAGAACATTAACTAAGACATTACAGTCAATTCTAAGGGGGTAACTTTTGTGTAAAAGATAAGTGTATGTGTGTCTTTATGTGTGTGTGTTTGCTTTAAATGTTTCAAGAAATTTGAAAAACATTAGCTTCACTGCTTCCTGAATGATCCACAGGTCTTATGGATCTGAGTGATAGAAACAAAGCAACTCTGAAGGTCCTATAATGACTTTGCCACCGCACATATTACTGTGATGATGTTCCTAGTCAGGAGCCAAAGCAGATGCTGGTATTGAAAGCACTGTAAGCAACACTATCCAAAGATGCTCCAGGTACCCCTCTGCGGGGGAAAAATGTTGGACAGAGTTCATTTTGTACCACATTCTCACTTGTCACTCTAATACATTTATTTAAATATGGTAAAATGCTGAGTGGGGGATAGTTTTTTGGTTGTTTATTTTCCTATTTGTTTTTGTGTTCAACAAGCAGCATTATACAAGCATATATTCATAGAGAAGACAAATAATCTGGAGACAGCTGGCCAAGCCCCAGGAGTTTCAGCCCTTTGCACAAAGTCAATGAGAGATTTAGGAGAAGAAATCAAACAAGACTAGAGGAGGGAAAAACAGTTTTTCAGTAACAAGATGAAAGAAAACAACTATATTTTCATTCTAAATAGCTATACTTTCAATGTGGACATCCAGAAGAGGGTCATGACTGAAAGACTAGGGAAAAAGCTATGACAGTAACCTAGTAACAGAGTAACATTACAGTTACAATGGGACAGAAATAGGTGGACAAATTCAAGAGAAATTTAGGAAGGAGACAAACTTGGAAATTCGGGATTAGTAAAGAGAAAAGGAAAGATATTCCCATTGAATGCAGAGTTCCAAAGAATAGCAAGGAGAAATAAGAAAGCCTTCCTCAGTGCTCAATGCAAAGAAATAGAGGAAAACAACAGAATGGGAAAGGCTAGAGAATTAGAGATACCAAGGGAACACTCCATGCAAAGATGGGTTTGATAGAGGACAGAAATGGTATGGACCTAAGAGAAGCAGAAGATATTAAGAAGAGATGGCAAGAATACACAGAAGAACTGTGCAAAAAAGATCTTCACGACCCAGATAATCACAATGGTGTGATCACTCAACTAGAGCCAGACATCCTGGAATTTGAAGTCAGGTGGGCCTTAGAAAGCATCACTAAGAACAAAGCTAGTGGAGGTAATGGAATTCTAGGTGAGCTATTTCAAATCCTGAAAGATGATGTGGTGAAAGCATTGCACTCAATATGCCAGCAAATTTGGAAAACTCAGCAGTGGCCACAGGACTGGAAAAGGTCAGTTTTCATTCCAATCCCAAAAAAAGGCAATCCCAAAGAATGCTCAAACTACCACACAATTGAACTCATCTCACACGCTAGTAAAGTAATGCTCAAAATTCTCCAAGCCAGGCTTCAGCAATACATGAACTGTGAACTTCCAAATGTTCACGCTGGTTTTAGAAAAGGGAGAGGAACCAGAGATCAAATTGCCAACATCCGCTGGATCATTGAAAAATCAAGAGAGTTCTAGAAAAACATCTATTTCTGCTTTATTGACTATGCCAAAGTCTTTGAGTGTGTGGATCACAATAAACTGTGGAAAATTCTCAAAGAGATGGGAATACCAGACCACCTGACCCGCCTCTTGAGAAACTTATATGCAGGTTAAGAAGCAACAGTTAGAACTGGACATGGAACAAAAGACTGGTTCCAAAAAAGAGAAGGAGTACGTCAAGGCTGTATATTGACACACTGCTTATGTGCAGAGTACATCATAAGAAACGCTGGGCTGGAAGAAGCACAAGCTGGAATCAAGATTGCCAGGAGAAATATCAATAACCTCAGATATGCAGATGACACCACCCTTATGGCAGAAAGTGAAGAGGAACTAAAAAGCCTCTTGATGAAAGTGAAAGAGGAGAGTGAAAAAGTTGGCTCAACATTTGGAAAACTAAGATCATGGCATCCAGTCCCATCACTTCATGGCAAATAGATGGGGAGACAGTGGAAACAGTGTCAGACTTTATTTTTTTTTGGCTCCAAAATCACTGCAGATGGTGACTGCAGCCATGAAATTAAAAAGATGCTTACTCCTTAGAAGGAAAGTTATGACCAACCTAGATAGCATATTAAAAAGCAGAGACATTACTTTGCCAACAATGGTCTGTCTGGTCAAGGCTATGGTTTTTCCAGTGGTCATGTATGGATGTGAGAGTTGGACTGTGAAGAAAGCTGAGCACAGAAGAATTGATGCTTTTGAACTGTGGTGTTGGAAAAGACTCTTGAGAGTCCCTTGGACTGCAAGGAGATCCAACTAGTTCATCCTAAAGGAGATCAGTCCTGGGTGTTCATTGGAAGGACTGATGTTGAAGCTGAAACTCCAATACTTTGGCCACGTCATGCAAAAAGGTGACTCATTGGAAAAGACCCTGATGCTGAGAGGGATTGGGGGCAGGAAGAGAAGGGGACAACAGAGGATGAGAAGGCTGGATGGCATCGCTGACTCGATGGACATGAGTTTGAGTAAACTCCGGGAGTTGGTGATGGACAGGGAGGCCTGGTGTGCTGTGATTCATGGGGTCACAAAGAGTCGGACACGACTGAGTGACTGAACTGAACTGAACTGAAAGGCAGGGGAGGTCATGGAACTGGAGACCTGGATGACTCCTTTGAGAATGGATGAAGATAATATGATCTGGACACTTAGTATCTAAGTAATTTCCTATATCCTATCTAAAGACACAAAAAGATGAAGAAAAATGAGAGTATGAAGCCAGGCTAAATCTGAATTCTTTGCTTCTGAGCAATATCTTCAGAAGATGCATTTATTCACATTAAACCTTCAAGATTCAAATATCATTAAAAGTTAAAGAAACAGTTGTAACATGACTGTTTTAGGAAGAGTTACTAGATAGCCCCAACCTAATACAAAAAAAACCTGATCTTGAAATAAGGGGTGTGTGTGTGTGTGTGTGTGAACATTCCTTTAAACTTTCTTACACAAGTAACCAAATGATCTATCTGTCCTTGATTCAACAGCATTCATTAACCACTACTTAAGAAGAAAAATTCATCTGTAGTTGACTGGAAAATGAATGTCTACAGAAAAACTGCATAAATACTAAATTTGCATACATGTCAAAAAACTGCCTCACTGAATTTTTTACATCAGCAAATATATAAACTGAAGTACAAAATACTCTTGGAAACCCATATTTCATCATCTTGTTTTTCAAAGATACTAAATAGTAAAATGACAAGCATACATTATATATTTGATCAAGGTAGTATATTATATATTACATATATATTTTATATATATAATATTATATATTAAGTATATATATATATACACACACTTTACTAAGGATTTAAAAATTTTCCTAGAAATACCTACTTTTAACACACTTCAGTACTCACAATAAAACTGGTGAAAGTGTTCCATTGTTGGTATACCAGGAACAAAGTTGTAGAGGTGAAACTTCAAAGCTTCACTCTTCAGTAAGCTATAAGCCATCTCTGTAAGATTGATTCCAACTATTGCATAAGAATACCTATGTCAGAAACATTACCAGTTATCCCAGCTAGTCAACGAGTTTATAAAGTAAATTTTAAACTATGCAAGGAATTAGTAAAATGTTACTCTGATTAATTTCTAACACAGTATTGATTTTAAAATAATTTCTACATATTAAGAAAGTAAACCAGAATTGATTAAAAATTTTTGTTCTTTAGAGCCTATTGATTTTCTGGATCTAATCTAAAACATGAAAATAAAGCTCTGGTCACATGACTATCTAAAACCAAAATCCTTTTTAAAAAATCCAAAAGAATACTACACACAACCTCACTGACTTCTAAAATACACTGGGTAATCTGGTAGTTTCTCCATTATCAGGGTATTTATTTTTATGATATAATACTGTTATCAATATAATGCTTTTTCAAAGATAGGTATCATTAAACATTAAAAATAAGTAACAATAAAGCTAATAATTTCGAAGAATCTGACACAACTTAGCAACTGAACAACAACAAAGCTAATAATATCTATTTACATTTTGCTTCACAAGTTTCAAAGTTATATCTCATTTCCTATTCCTATTTCAAAGCCATTTCCCATTCCCATTTTCAAATCTTCCTCAGAAAATTTTTAAAAGGTCCTTATTTCCATTTTATAGATAAACTGTATCTTGTGATAAAAATAACTGAAATACATACAAAATCAGTTTATGATCACATATATTAAAATAATGTCATGCAGTATTATTTATAAAGTTCTTATTAACTAAAATAATCTAATTAGAAAAATCCCTGAAATACTTTCAAATTCAGATCTTCTAATTAACTTAAATTCAAGAGTTTACAGTTTCTTTAATATATCCAGCTTACCCTAATTTTGGATGATTTGAACGGGAAAGAATCTGATGAGCTTCACTGGTGTAATTTTCACTGAAATATCTGAAAAAGTTTAAGAAAAATAACAAAATTAACATGCCATTCAAACTGAAGATATGCAGAAGCAATTTTAAAAGCTACAGTCAAAATGACAGTCCTATTGCCAAAAGTACCCCAATCTCCATCTCAAATCCTTTAGTGACTCTGAGGTGTTTCTCAATCAAAACTTAATTCTGAGCCATCAGGCCTATCTAGTATAGGATATGGGTCCTTTGCTAGATTTTGAAGTATTCTGACAAAAAAATGATCCAACAAGAGATTTTTTTTTTTATCCATCTTAAGGAAAATCTAGAGTTCTGTCTGTTTGTTCCACATTTCTTATAAAATAGTCACTGTCTACCTCTTGGGACACTTCCTTTCACCTGAGTTCATTCCTTCTGTTGTGACTTAAATCTGCTGCTTAATGCCATTGTCAATGCAATCAGAAGAAAGTCAATAGCCTTCCTTTTGCTTAAAAACCAAATAAAAACAAAACCCTCCTTGATGAGTGGTATAACTAAAATACTGGCCATAAAACAGAAGTATTAGCAGGTACAGAAGAGAAACATATAAAGGCTCATACATCCTATTGGTGTGTACTAATGCAACCTCTTTTGAGTTCTTATAGACCAAATCTTATAGAGAAGTCAGAGCTAATTTTATATTTTCAACCATTTCTAGTATATCAATGGCCACCAAACAGTATATCTGGATTGCAGTCATTTTTCAAATTAGTAGCTACTAGCTCTAAATAGAGTAAAAATATCTGCAAATTATTTAAAGGTCTATCAGAATCCCTTACCACAGAACTGAATCAAATCCTATTAAATTATTTAAGTTTTAAGCTAAATTATCTTCTGACAAGTGCTGAAAATCTTGATTTCTGAGGAAATGAGCCAAAAGCAAGGTTACTCAGCAAAAGTTAAGAAAGGAAACATCAGAAGAAAGTGTATCTAACTGAGCTACAATTATCTGTGTAGTTTATAAGTACCAAGAAAAAAAGATGGACTTTAAAGGCTAAAAACAAAAGATCTACGTGTTCTGAACAATAATAAATTTTAAAATACTTTAGAATTTTCCCAAGTGAAAACAAACTGCATTTATTCTACTTAAATTCAAAGTTTCTGTTTATCAAAGTGGAAAACCAGCAATCTCATTTTTTTGTAATTATTATTATCATTATTTTTTAGACTACTGTGCTTTATTTTTGAAAAGTAGACATATAGGGAACTTTCCTACTCATAAATTTAGGTATTACAGAAAATTAAATACTTTTGTTACTGGAAAAAACCCTGCAAATATCAAAGCCCTACTATATCTTCTATTTTCCTCCCAAATAGCCTTATCCATATTGATCTAGATATTTTTTCTCAATATTAGCATAAATGAGCTCAGTTTGGGAATTGATTCTTTCACAGTAACAATTATATGAACTTTGTTATGGTTAGGGTTCCCACCCTAGGCATTTTATAAGCCTATAAATCACTACTCAAGGACAGGCCCAAACACTAGAATATCTCCATGTGCACATTCATATCCATATTAATCTTCCAGGTTAATTTCTAAAATAGAGTTGGTTATCAATTCTAATTTTAGTTACATATTTTGAGATTTCACATATACGCCCAAGCATAAATATTAACAAAAGAAAAACAAGAGAGAATTCATATAGGCTCTGAAAAGTCAAGGATTTAGATCACTTGTCACAGATGGTGAAGAATAAGTGTGAAGCACATTTTCATCTTGTGTGCTTGTATTTCCTAAAATGGAATCAGAGAGCCAAGAGAGACGAGGCAAAAGGATATAAAGAGTAAGAAAAGAGTACATGCAATTCCTTAAAAGGCATCAGAAACGTAGGAAGAGACAGAGGAAAAGTTGGTAAGTAAAGAAATCATATACACACACACACAGCATATGGCCAACATCTTCAAATTTTTGCCAGCATATTAGTAAATACTAAAGCACAGCAGCTACTAAAATTCAGAGATAGTATGAAACAACCAGATTAATTCTTACTAAAACTTAGCAAGACTGGAGACTACATGGAATTTCATTCAGAAAAGAAAAGAAAATTTATTTTCACTTACACAAGATTGATTAATCCAAGTATGCCCATGCCTCTGAAGTCTGTTTTGGGATCATCACCCTGGAAACCAATGTCAGCCCACTGCTTGGAGATTCTAGCCTTCAACTTTTTCGTGGGCATGAGAAGATTCCAGAGCTGTATAAACATGCTTCCATATTACAAACAATAGTGATGCTCTTAATTACCAAGACATTTTCCTTCTCACAGTTGATATACTGGTAAGCTGAATGCTTTCAGTTAAACTACTTTTGTAGACAAATCACAGGCTCAACAAAGACTATAGAGAACGTTTCAGTTATCCTAAAAAATGTAGCACACTTATTCCAGTGTAAAAGATTGATATAAATAAAGAACAGATTTTGAAAAGGTAACAAATACACAGAAATCTAAAACAATGACTTGTCTTCATATACACTAGAATTGGTAACTGCTTCCTTGAGAAGAACACAGTGCTAGGCACTTGGCCGTTGCCTCAAACACCATATTCTTAAGTAGGCTTTATTCTAATGGCGGGTGATTAGTCCCTAGTCAGAGGGACTACAAGTCTGAAATAGGGAGGGGATCATGGAGAAACAATACTGGTGATGTTAAAACCTATATGATCATTATTTTTACAAATTTTCATAGCTTTAAAAGAAAAAAGTATGACCTGTCTGTAAGTATACTCCCCAAGACTGAGGATTTAAGAATAGCTATCAACTATTGGATAGCAACAGACTAATCAATGAAAACTAAAGTTTTTTTAAAAAAATCAGTCATTTTCCAAATTCAACACAAGTCATCAAACAAAACAGACTTACAAAAGTTGATAAGAAAGTTTGTGAAAACTTGCAAAACAGAAATACTTGCATTTTTTTTCCATTTCACTATCATTTCAGGCATTGTTGAGTAAAGGACTCCTAATGAAAGGAGTATCCTGTTACCTAGAATGAAATGTGAAGACTTTGTGACCTTACTGTAAGGCATGGTCAGGACTCTGGCCCTGAAGCTAATACAGTCATCAGACTGGGTTTTCTCTGGTCCCTCCTCTCATTACTAACACATGCATCTGCTCACCTTAGCGTCTCTCCATGAGCTCAGCAAGCGTTTGATTATGCCAAGAATGAGGCCCACAATGATGTGGTGAGAGACAAGGTAAGACCACTAATACTCAAAATCTACTATGTGTAAATATCAAATTTCTGGGTTTCACCCCTGGAGATTCTGATTTCACAGGCCAACGTGGAACTCTGGATTCTAAACGTTAAAACACTGGTTAACTTTAGTGAAGCTGGCCCTCAGACTGCACTTAGAGACCTGGATCTCTTCAGCCCCTGACCCTGCTGAGTTTCTGTGAGGCTGGGTGATTCACTGCCAGCCACCAGCTCTTCACCTTTCAGTAAGTTTCATGATGAATCACCAAGATGAAAATTCCCCTGACTAAAATGCTAGGACTTGGGTCTTACTCCTCTAAAGAGATGGTGTAGAGAGGGTCTGATGTTAAGGCAATAATGATGATGAGAAGGTTATAAAGAGGAGTCCAGCGTCAGTGAGTGCCAGGCACTCAACCCATAGCAAAAGTCCTTTGGGTAGGTTTATTATCCTCTTTGCCAAAATCAGGTTTGTTTTTAAAGTTCGGTGACGTGCATATTTATACTCTTTCTTAAAACAAGGAAAAAGTTTTGTTGTTTTTTTTTTTTATCACAACCATAGTGTATCTTTTTTTTTTTTTTTTTTTACATGTATTCCCCATCCTGGTCCCCCCTCCCACCTCCCTCTCCACCCAATCCCTCTGGGTCTTCCCAGTGCACCAGGCCCGAGCACTTGTCTCATGCACCCAACCTGGGCTGGTGAACTGTTTCACCCTAGATAATATACGTGTTTCAATGCTGTTCTCTTGAAACATCCCACCCTCGCCTTCTCCCAGAGTCCACAAGTCTGTTCTATACATAGGAGTCTCTTTTTCTGTTTTGCACATAGGGTTATCGTTACCATCTTTCTAAATTCCATATATATGTGTTAGTATACTGTAATGGTCTTTATCTTTCTGGCTTACTTCGCTCTGTATAATGGGCTCCAGTTTCATCCATCTCATTAGAACTGATTCAAATGAATTCTTTTTAATGGCTGAGTAATATTCCATGGTGTAGTTTTGTTGTTTTTAAACTTGTCTCTCACTGTAACTTAGATACTCTCTTACTGGAATGATGTTTCTTTCCACAGCACTTTTAGTTTATAACAAAACTAAACACCAGGTGCTCTGTGCTGTCTTCCCTAACTTTAAACATTAAAAAATACAATTAGAATAGGTGAAGTGGACAGGCAGGTGACTCATTTCTATTTCAGAACTGATCATTCTAAGATCTTCATGAAGCAAATGACTTCATCTTCTCTAGGCCCCAGAACTAAACTCATCCCTCAAAGGTCCTAAAGTAGATGATTTGGAAAGCTTGCTCCAGGTCTAATCTCTCATTTCAGCACTGCACCGACCTTACTGAACCAACCTTTCTACTCCAGAAATAAGAAACAGGAAGTTTCTAAGTAAATTTCTTTACTCCCTTAATTTTTAAATCTATTGTGGCAATATTCAGCACATTTCATAAATCTCCAAAGATCTGACATAATGATCTGCAAAGGCGCCTCCATGTTCACAGTTTGAGAGGAAGATGAACAGATGCCTAATTTGCATGAGGGATTCTATGAGACATGGGGAAAATCTGAAGCTTGCGGACCCATACTTCTCCGCTGAAAAGATCTCCCTTTTTAAGTTGATGATTTATTTCAGAATTAAACAAACATTAAAATATATAAAATTGTAAAAAGTTAATGAAAAATCTTTCACCAGCATGATTACATTTTCTAAGAGGCAAAGAAATCAGATAGCTGTGTAAGCCTCTAGATGTTGCACAAGGCCTTACTATCTTAAGCCTGATTTATTTTCCAGTGTCACTTCAAATACAGAATGCCAAAAACTTACCTTGATAAGCAGCTTTTCGTGTTGCAGGTTATCAGAATCATACGGCTTTTTTCTCACACTTTCTACATCCAAATAGAGCTGTTTATAACCGGATATCTGTAATAAGCATGCCTTCATGCTGATTTTAAAACTGAAAATGATAAAAATTGTTATTTTTTAAAAACATACCTTCCTACCACAATAAAGCAACACCTTTCATAGCCTGTGGTTCATATGTCTATTTAGAAAGCAATTTCTAGTTTTCAGTTGAATACAATAAGCATCAAAAGCCTCTGAAAAACACAAAACATTATACAAAGTATCACGCAGGATAAGACAGAACAAGGCCTGGAAAGAGAGCAAGATGCGTAGGAAAAGCAAACTCTGCAAACTGTAAAATGCGAGAATCCTTCATTTGTTCACTTCTTCTCACATTTTCTCTGAGCAACTCACACATTTCCCAATTCTTATTGCCCAATATTCAATGCAGACCTGGTTTTCCAAGGATGCACCAACACACATCGCCATGACAGGTTCTCCCAGTTCTCCCAAACACAACAGCTTATCTTCCCTGAAGAAGCACGCTCTTTCTCAACTCAGTCTCTCAGTCTACTCACGGAATCACTAAGCTAGTTCCCCAAGCTAGAATGCTCTGAGTTCTGACATTCCTCTCCATCAAAAACACATCAAAAAGTCCCTGAGCCCTTATCCTTTGTGGCTCTGAACTATCCTTTAAAGGCCCCATCATAGATCTGTTTAACCTGGTGTATTTATGGCTTCATCGTCTCTTATCCAAACGACTCAGTTTCCTGTTTTGTCTTTATCCCTTCTACCAGCCTCCTATATCCTCAAATTTACCCTCCATCTCCTAAAATACATATCTGATCACGCATCTTGTTTGCTTTAAAAAAAGAAAGAAAACAGAGGACAAATCCAAGTTTCTCAGTGTGACCGGTGAGCCTTCTCGCAGTGTCTCTGATCTCGCCCCCCTACTCTCTTCTCCAACCTCTGCTCCGTGCCTATGCAGCGCTCTGGCTACAAAGGACTCCCTATCATTTCCAGATACTCAAGGACCCTGTGCCTTATAGCCTCTTTCTCTGCATGAAATGTTCTCTCTGACCCACTCAATGAGGTACAGCTCAAACGTTCCCTTTTCTGTGGAATTATCATCTCAGTTCTCTCCTGTACCTTTCCCTGTTTCAGCCTAAATAATGACTCCTTCCTCAATATCCACATAGAAAATACCAAATGAAGGAAAAATTGCTAAGTATTTACTATCTCAATAAACTTGTGCTGAGAACACAAAACTGGAATAAGTCAAGTCCTTCTCTTGTGGAACTCAGAATTCATTTGGGGAGGAGCAAGAGCAAATCAGCAACTACAGGATAATGGGTTAATTGTGTAACAGAGGACCTTCTTGGAGGAGGATGGAGGAACTGAATTTTCAAACACAAAGAAGGACACAGGTGCTGAAGTTGCATTTAACTTTGGGAAAGTAATGGTAAGCTATTTTAAGAGAAGGCAGATGATAAATTGGCAATAGTACTGGATTGGGACCCAGTGAGTGAGTGAAGTCGCTCAGTCGTGTCCAACTTTTTGCGACCCCATGGATTCTAGCCTACCAGACTCCTCCATCTATGGGATTTTCCAGGCAAGAGTATACTGGGGTTACCATTTTCTTCTCCAGGGGATCTTCCCGACCCAGGGATCGAACCCGGGACTCCCACATTAAAGGCAGTTACTTTACCGTCTGAGCTACCAGGGAAGTCCTGGGACTCAAAGATATAGGTTTTAGATCTCCTACTACTCACCTCTCTGGACGTCACTTCCTCATTGAGTGAAGTGTAAGGATTGAATTGGATGATTTTCACAAACCTTTCACCTCTAATGTTTCACAACTTTGTGTGATCTTTAATCTCACAGGATGTAAGCACACGATAAATGAGAATACTGTAAAAACACACCTGTCATCCTTCTCAGGGTTAATCTTCTTTTCCTTCATTATATCTTCTACACATCTGTCCACTTCACTCTGAACAACAAGTGGAGCTCTCTGTAAAACCTATTTGTGTGAAAGAAAGCTGTATGAGAAAAATCTCTTATAGCTGGGGAAAAAAAGGAGTATTTTCAACAGGGCAATTGTGCTGTCTTTTTATTACTGAGTTCTAAAAAGTTCTTTACTGGATATAAGTCCTTAATCAGGTATATGTGCTATAAATGTTTTCTCTGTGGCTTGCCAATTCATTTCTTAAAGGCGTTTTTGATAAGTAGTTTTTCTTCTGATGAAGTCTAATTTTTCTCTTTTCTTCTTAAATGGTAATGCTATGTCTTCTCTAGAAGAAACTTCTGTTTAACCCATGGTAGAAGATGTATATTCTCCTATGGTTTCTTTGAGAAGTCTTAACATTTTAAATATAGGTCTAAAGTCCATTATCAAATTAATTTCACAAGAAGAGTGTGATAGGAGCCTCCCCACCCTCTACCCTCCCAATCTGGTTCCAGCTGTTCCTGCACTTTATTGGTTTTCCAATACTTTCCTGATCTCACTGAATTGCTTTAGTATTCTTTTTAAAAATTACATGTGGTCTGTTTCTCTTCTCTCACCTGTTTTATTTGTCTCTTTGCCTAGAAAGTCTTGGAAGTCAGACAGTATATGTCCTTTAACTTTGTTCTTTGAGAAGACTATTTGGGCTGTACTAGGTCCCTTAAAATCCTGTATCAACTTTAAATAAGCTTGCCGCTCCCTTCAAAAATAACCTGCTGGGATTTTGACTGGACTGCACTGAACCCACAGGTCAGTTTGGGCACTGGCGTCATAGCAACACTGACTCTTCTAATTGATGAGCACAGTGTATCTTTCCATTTTAAGCTTTCTCAGGAAAAGGAGTGGTAATGTGGAAGGCTTACACAGCTTTCATTACATTGATCCCTGGGTATTTTATATTGCTGGATGCTACTCTAAGTGGAATTATTCTCTTTTTTGTTTTTCTGAAGTTTAACTTAACATACAGAAACATACTATGTCCTATGACATTGCTAAATTCATTTACTAATAACGCTAGTAATTTTTAGATTTCTTAGGATTTTCTATACTCATAAACTATGCCATCTGTTAATAAAGACAGTTTATTTCTTTTCATTCATTATGTCTTACATTTATTTTCTTTGCCTTACTACACTGCTTAGGTCTTCCAGTACAATGCTGGATAAAAGGAGAATAAACATCCTCATTTTTTCCAACTGAACATGCAGAGCATTCAATATTTCAGTGTTGTATACCATGCCAGCCTTTAATATGACAATGAAGTTCCTTTTACTCTTAGTTAGTTGAGTGTTTTTGACCATGAATGGGTATTAAGTTCTGTCAAAACAATTTTTTTAATATCTACTGAAATGACCATATTTTTCTGATTGACTTTGTTAATGTGGCAAGTTACATTCACTGACTTTGAAAACATTATTATTTTTATATATTACTGCTTCCATATTAACATCTCTAGTCTTAAAACAACCATGTGGATATTAATACCTTTCTTTTACGATGAGTACTCTTGCAAAGTCAAAGAAAGCGACAGAATTGGAACTTAGACTTTTTTCACAGAAATAAAGAAGTACACCAAGTTAATGGAAATATCACAAAATCAGAAATCAGTTTTACTGATTTTACTTTGTATCAATACAAAGTATTGATAAATGAAATACACAAATCAGATAAAACACACACCATAAATTGTATGTCTAAACTGATGAGACTTCACCCATTAGCTTATTGACAAGTTTACACTAGATTTAAAACTTCAAGAAAACAAAGCTCCTCTGATTTAATTCAGTAAGTATTTAACCACCCATTTGTTGACCATTTCTTTTTAGTATGCTCTTGAAAACACAATTAGCAATTTTTAAATAATAAAATAATAAGAATACAATTTTAATGTTTAGTTCTCTAGTGAACTTTAGTAGCCAATAAAGGAGATAAAAGATAATGAACATTTTATTTTCTTTAAACTTGTAACTATTACCTTAAAGCTTCCAGACACTTCACCTTAGCCCACCTTACCTCCTACATCTCCAGATGCCTATTTATAATTGCATTCGATTTTGTTCTTTACTTCCTGTTTCATATCCCAAAGACCTTGATGGAATGTTGAACATATAGCAACCACTCAAATCTTTGCTCAAGGATTTGACTAAGGCACTAGAGCTCTTAAAAAGTAATACATACAGTCTCACTTAATTCAGGCATAATTTTACAACACATGAAATCCCATTAGCAAATTCCATGACTGAAAATGTTAAAATCAATTTTAATAATAAGTTATATAGACAGATCTGTGAAAGAGAGGTCCTAGTTCCAGAATCTCTCCAGATGTTCATCTACAATTTATGATGTTGTTACTTCATGAAATTGTGTTCCAGGTTATTAAAGGAACTATATGAGTAGACACGTATAAACAAATTTTTACAATCAGCAATTTGGTAACACTCTAGATCCCTATAGTCTCATTAAAAAAGGAGAGAAAGAGATTCTGAACGAAATAAGATTCTATAAGATTCTGAACAAAAAGGTAGGACTCTGAACTGCTCCCCACCACAATATTCATTCATGTATGAGTTATACTGACCATTTATAAATAAAAGACTAAATCAGTAAAGCACCTATTTTATAGGTCACTCTCCAGAACTTAACTGATAAGCTTGCAACATTCAACAGTGTCCATTTTCTTTCTGGCATGAATCAGGAACTCATATCAGTATCATTAGACAGTATTAGCAAGTCAACATTTTTTGACCCTAAACTCTAGATCCACATTGTACATCACAACCAAATACAAACATATATGAATATCTAAAAAAGTTATAGATGTATAGTGACAGTGAAGTCGCTCAGTTGTGTTCGACATTGCAACCCCATGGACTGCAACATGCCAGGCTTCCCTGTCCATCACCAACTCCTGAACTCAAACTCATGTGGTGATGCCATCCAAGCATCTCATCCTGTCATCCCCTTCTCCTCCCACCTTCAATCTTTCCCAGCATCAGGATCTTTTCAAATGAGTCAGTTCTTCATATCAGGTGGCCAAAGTATTGGAGCTTCAGCTTCAACATCAGTCCGTCCAATGAATATTTAGGACTGACTTCCTTTAGGATGGACTGGTTGGATCTCCTTGCAGTCCAAGGGACCCTCAAGAGTCTTCTCTACAACACAGCTCAAAAGCATCAATTCTTCAGTGCTCAGCTTTCTTTATAGTCCAACTTTCACATCCATACATGACCACTGAAAAAACCATAGCTTTGACTACATGGACCTTTGTTGGCAAAGTAATGTCTCTGCTTTTATATGCTGTCTAGGTTGGTCATAGCTTTTCTTCCAAGGAGCAAGTGTTTTTTAATTTCATGGCTGCGGTCACCATCTGCAGTGATTTTTGGAGTCCAAAAAATAGTCTCTCACTGTTTCCACTGCTTCCCCATCTATTTGCCATGAAGTGATGGGACCGGATGCCATGATCTTAGTTTTCTGAATGTTGAGTTTTAAGCCAACTTTTTCACTTTCCTCTTTTACTTTCAACAAGAGGCTCTTTAGTTCTTCTTCGCTTTCAGCCATAAGGGTGAAGTCATCTGCATATCTGAGGTTATTGCTATTTCTTTAGGCAATTTTGATTCCAGCTTGTGCTTCATCCAGCCTGGCATTTCGAATGATATACTGCATATAAGTTAAATAAACAGGGTGATAATATACAGTCTTGACGTACTCCTTTCCTGATGTGGAACCAGTCTATTGTTCCATGTCCAGTTCTAACTGTTGCTTCTTGACCTGCGTATAGATTTCTCAGGAGGCAGGTCAGGCAGTCTTGTATTCCCATCTCTTCAAGAATTTTCCACAGTTTGTTGTGATCCACTGTTATTCAAACAAGAGTCTAGATGACCCATACTCTACCTCTGCCAAACCAACTAATCTATATACAGAGGGAAAAAACTGTGAACTACTATAGGGAAGCATAGCATGTGTTAGACTGAATAATCAGCCCCCATTTTTCATTCCCATGTAAGTGACTTACATACCCACATGTCTAACATGGGTTTATGGTGAGCATAATGTATTTCTCCATCCCTTGACTTGGGCTTGGCCATGTAACTTACTCTAGGCATATTAATGACACATGACACAAGAAAACTTAAAATATGTTTGTGCGGTTGGAGCTCCAACAATTCACTATGGATTAATCTGGATTCTTTTCAATGTGGATCCCAGAATGAGATAACTAGAACAGACCTGAACTTGGCACCAGCTTGAGGAAGAGCCTGTCCAGTCGGCCCACAGATATATGAGCCAAGAAATAACTAACTTTGGTATATGTCACTGAGATTTTATAAGTCTGTTACACAGAAGACTCTTAAAAGAGTCCCTTGGATGCAAGGAGATCAAGGCAGTCAATCCTGAAGGAAATTAGCCCTGAATATTCATTGGAAGGAGTGATGCTGAAGCTGAAGCTCCAATACTTTGGCTACCTGATGCAAAGAGCCGACTCACTGAAAAAGACTCTGATGCTGCGAAAGAGTGAAGACAAAATGAGAAGTGGGTGGCAGAGGATGAGATGGTTGGATAGCATCACTGACTCGATAGACATGAATTTGAGCAAATTGTGGAGACACTGGAGGACTGAGGAGCCTACAGTCCATGAGGTCACAAAGAGTTGGACACAACTTAGTGACTAAACAACAACAATACAGCAATAACTAACTAATAGCATGAGTAATAAAAAGTGACTTATTTTAGATCAAAAGGTTTTCTATAGAAAACCCAAATAACTATCCAAACCTATCCTAAGGACACAATCTATGAGAAAGCTTTCCCCTTAAACACTTTCCTTTCCCACAAGTCATCAAGTTTTGAGGTAAAATAAACAAGCAAAACCTCTGAACAGAACAAATTATTCAAATACTTCTTTGTGACAAGTATTGCACGCTCCTCCCCTCCCCCCACACACAAAGAGAAAAAAATGTTAAAAAAAAATAGAATACTACTTCTTAAGTGGGAAAACTTCACCCAACACTCTTTGCAGCAAAGACTCTTCAAGTAGCACACCAGAAATAATTAACTCTAAAACGGAGACATTCTTTTAAAGAAAAAGTATCTCCAAGTTAATTTTCTAGCATTATTACCTTGATATGAGCCTACCTTATTCTTGGAGTATGTCAAGGAATTTTCTGAAAAGAAGAAAAAGAATATTATTACTTAAATAGTTTGTGAATTACTCTATAAACAAATACTATAAATACTGAGAAAATAAATTATTTTAATAGCTCTAGATGATATAATTTTTACATTTTCTTATCAAGAAATACTTTGCTCTCCTCAGAGCAGTCAAAAAGGCAACTCTTAAGATCAACCAAGAATGTAAGTCAGCCAGAAAGTTGTGAAAAATCTTGGGAAGTAATTACCCTGCAGTCATCCAGATGCCCTGAGGTTCCCTCCCTGACTGCCATTCTTTGCCTGTTGTCTTGGCTACCACCACCGACTCCTCAAATCTAAGAGGGGTGGATTTCTTAGTTGAAGCGCACTTGTTCAACACAAAAGAGGTTTTGGTTAAGTCATGATTTTCCCATTTAACACAGCGAACATGAAGTGCAGTCCACCCCTGGTCTGCCTTACTCTGGTCAAAGAGAAATGACCTCAATCGCACTTCTCATTCATCTGTGTTCTAATTTAAGGTAATACTTTCAATTTAGCATGGAAAGCTGATCAATTTTAGAAAGTTTTAGAGCAGCACTGTTCAACAGAAATATAATGCAAGCCCAAATGTGAACCATGTATGTTCACATTTAACATTTACATTTTAACATTTTCTAGTAGCCATACAAGAGTAACAGAAACTGATAAAAGTAACAATATATTTTAACCCAAGGATCCAAAATATCATCATTTCAACATACAATGAATATAAACAATTATTAGTGAGACACCTTTACATTCTTTTTTCACATAGACTTTGAAATCCAGCATATATTTTATACCTCTGCACATCTCAATTCAAACTAATCACATTTCAAGTGTTCAATAGCCACATGTGGCTATTGGCTACACAGTTTATGACAGAGCAGATTTCCAGTCTAATGATCTTTCTTAGGGATTACCAGATACCTATGATTGTTCTTTCATGAACTACATTGAGAGATTAAGACTGAAGGATGCTGAATGTCAAAATGGATCTCCTTAAGTGAAAATTTCAAAGGGGTAACAGTAGTAGAGAGGTATTCTTTTCTAGAAAGTAGGTTGCAACCATAATCTAAGATACAACTGATGAATTAAATAATTGTTTCTTTTTCCATAAAATCAGTTTTAGAGTTAGAAGGATTCAAAGATAATGAAACAGATTAAGTGATTTGATCATGATACACAAGAGCATTTGTCACTATCAGTACTGAGAAAAAGTTAGAATCTTATTAGTTTTTAATCATTCTTTTTTGAAAAACATTACCTATCCTGTGCGTCCTTTGTGCACCTACATAGGTATCAAAAATTCGCTGCAATTCACATTTTCCAGTCATCTGTCGTAAGAGCCATTTCATCCAAAATCGAAAAAAGTGCCCATAGAAGAACTCCCACAAAGCAATAAACATTTTTTTTCCCTGCAGAAGGAAATATATGACAGGTTTAATGACCCTAAATTAGGTTTTTAAAAAGGGAAAAATTAGTTTATTCAACTCACTGAATCCCAAATTATATTGTTAATCCATCATGTCTGTTTTGTAGTAGTGTTAGGCAGCTAAGAAAACAAAGACAGATGTCATATATGCCATTTACATTAATTAAATGATGCTGGTCAAACGGTCTATTTACCTCTTTTAAACAATTAACTGTAAAAATCAAACTACTTACTTAGATTCAAGGTCTCGGTTCACTATTTAATTTCTTATTGTTTGAGAATAGGGATCAACAGCCCAAGAACGAAAGAACCCCAGCTAAGGCAACGATTAAATCAAATATAGCATATATCAGAAATGTTTGTATAAGGAACAACTCTTCTTAACCCCGTGGATAATCCCAGTTACATGTGTCCCGGTCAGGCGATCCCAACAAACAAAACACTACATATTGCTTACAAATTTAAGTACACAAGTTGAACACGAAGTAGATCACACCCTGGCTAATTGCCGATTTTCCATTCAACAGGTGAAGGGCAGAAATACTTAGTGATAAACTACACCCTCGATAAAACTTAATCTTTATGCCCTAAGGAAAAAATCTTCGGTTCTTAAATGAAGCGGGGTCGGGGAAATTCAAGTCAGGAGGAATTACTTAAAAACGAAGGAAAAAGCTCATCTCCTTCCTGCCTTAAATATTCCCACCGATACATCGTCTCCCTAGGCATTGTCAAATTCGAAATCCCCTCAAGTCAGCGCAGAATCTGTGCAGAGACGGGCTGAACTGTGACTTTAAAAAAGAATCCATCTGGTCCGCGCTCATCAGGACAAAAGCCGAACTGCCAGGCAGAGGGAACGCCAGCCTCGCGGCGCCAGAGCTCCCCAGACCTCGGGGGGTCGCTGCGCCATCGAGCCCCCCTCCCGGAGTCTGGCCGAGCCCAGCTCGCGCCCTGCCCGCGAGTGGGAGGGAACGGCTCGCACAAAGCCCCGCCGGCACGGACGCCCAGTGGACTTTCCGCAGGACGCCGCGGGGCTCGCGCGCCTCCAGCGAAGCCGCACGCAAGCAGCACCCGGCGAGAGGAAAACAAACAGCAGCCACCTCACGGGAGCGGAAGAACTAGGAGGAGCGGGAGCTGCCTCGGTTTCCCCAACTGCAAACTGCCGGCAACGGAAACGACACTACGAGCCGTGCGCTCCCTGCAAGCACCGCGACCCGGAAGTCGAGGAGCGAGGCGGTGGGAACGCCCTCCCCCGGACACTGCCCGTCCCCGCCCCGCCCCCACCGGCTTCTCCGATTGGCCCGAGGCCCACCAATCGCGATCTCTGAAAGAATGACGAGCTGAGGGGCCCCGTCGCGCGTTCTCGGATGCTGGAGGCGCCCGACAGTTGCCCTGACAACGGCTACCTCGCGGCTCGTCTCCCGTCCAAGATAGGTCTTTGTCAGAGCGGCTGTGAAGACTTGGCTCTCCTAGAGCTTCAGGTCAGTTGCGCAAGTTCAAACCGTGTAATACTCCTACTTTCCAAGCACTGGAGAAGCGATGTGTTTTGTGTAACCTTCATAGCGCCAAGGTTACGAAAGCACTTTCACCTACATTTAGTCTTAACTCTGTGAAGTAATTAGCACTTTATGGATGAGGAAACGGAATGTATGTTGAATGACTTGCCCGTGGCCACTAGCAGGAAGATAAGGAGAGCCCTGTACGCTGAGTAAAGAAGTTTAGACCTTGTCCTTTCATGATAAAACATCTAATCGTTAATTAATAGGACATTTATCCCTTAACTGGTGTTTGTTTTTTCTTGAAAAATTAATTTATGTACATGATTATTTTTAAAAAATCCAACCTCAGACAATGTATTAAGTCAAGTATCTGTTGATTGGCTGTTATGCACCAGGCAGTGTTCCAAAAGGGAGTCATACACCAAATAAATGCAAATATTTAGTACGTCAGGTGGTACTAAAAAAGGGGTATTAGGGAAAGGAAGGAGTGTTTTTACATACAGTATAGTCAGGGCAGTCTCCGTGTTAAGGTGCCCCTTGAGTAGTGATCTGAATGAAGTAAGAGAGGGAGAGAATCTGGAGGAAGAGTATTCTAGACACTAGAATAGCAAATGCGAAGGGCTTGAATCAGGAACATACTTCATAAGTTGGAGGAATAGCAAAAGGACAGTATGGTTGGAGAAGAAAGACCAAGGGGAGAGTAAAATATAAGTACAAAGGACAACTTATATTGAAAAATGACTTCTACCCACCCGTGCACAACTCCTGGTCCCTTAGCCCCTTGCTCAAAAGCAACCAGTGTTAGTTTTTTATACCTTCAGGGGTATTCTATGAAAATGTGTGTGTGTGTGTGTATATATATATATATATATATATATATATATATATATATAGAGAGAGAGAGAGAGAGAGAGAGAGAGAGAGAGGAGGTATATATAATATTCCCTCCCTCCATCTCATTGTTAACACAGATCGAAGCAGCAGTACACACTCTTCCACACTTCAACCACATTTTTTAAAAAGGTGCTAGTTGTAAAACAGTAGACATGTGAAGGGTGCATAAGTCATCATCCCTGACCCATAGAAGCAACCAACTTGGTACTGAAATCTGGACATATACTATAATAATAAAACATCAACTCAGATCTTGAAAGGAACTTAAAGATCATCTCAATGAGTATTTTTTTATTGTACATAAAAAATATTCAAAAGGTAAAGTTACACAGCCAATCTGGCAAATTAAGATCTAGAATCAAACCTCTATTTCAGGGGTCTATTATTACATAATACCTTCATATAATAGTGAGATAATTCTGTAGTACAATTATATAATTCTTTTACCTTTTCAAGGTGCTACACGGAGTGGGGGAGGGGCAAAGAGGAACTCTTTTTATTGTCTCCATGCTGCCTGTTAAGCCCATGTCTATCCAGGTTTTTCACTGGGAGAGGAGAATGCTCACCTGTTTGGTCAGAACTCAGGAAGTTGATTGAACTGATTTATTGGAAGTAGAATCACTGTCCATTATAACGCCTTGTGCGTATGATTTCCCTGTCTGCCGCAAATTCATTTCCTTGTAACTAGCGGATTCTTTGTGGAGAAGGCAGTGGCAACCCACTCCAGTACTCTTGCCTGGAAAATCCCATGGACGGAGGGGCCTAGTAGGCTGCAGTCCATGGGGTCGCTAAGAGTTGAACATGACTGCGTTTCTTCACTTTCACTTTTCACTTTTATGCATTGGAGAAGGAAATGGCAACCCACTCCAGTGTTCTTGCCTGGAGAATCCCAGGGACGGGGGAGCCTGGTGGGCTGCTGTCTATGCAGTCATACAGAGTCGGACACAACTGAAGCGACTTAGCAGCAGCAGCAGCAGCAGATACATTAAACCAGTCCTGTGCCTCAAGGAAGACTGGCCTTCTCTCTCTCCTATTCTGTTTGGCTTTCTTTTTCCATGTGGCTGGCTAACTGATGGTTAAATCCTAAGATTAGAATTCTGGCTTCAAAAAGGTAGGACCTACTTAGGTCTCTAAACTAACTTCTAAATTTCGACCAGGTCTTACTAGATATACCTACATGGAAAACAAAGGCTATAATATAATGAAGTTCGGTTGTATTTCTGAGTAGTACTGAGGAATCTCTGCTTTCTTGGATTCTCAGACTAAACAGCCAAGGCACTGTTGATTTAGAAGCTGCTTAACGGGAAGAGTTGTTTGGTGTGACTGTTAATCAACAATTTGTTACGATGTTCAGTTTGATTCATGTGCATCCGTGTGTGCTAAGTCACTTCAGTCATGTCCCACTCTTTGCAACCCTATGGACTACAGCCCTCCAGGCTCCTCTGTCCATGGGATTCTCCAGGCAAGAACACTGGAGTGGGTTGCCATGCCCTCCTCCAGGGAATCTTCCTGACTCAGGGATTGAACACGAGTCTCTTATGTCTCCTGCATTAGCAGGTGGGTGTTTTACCACTAGAGCACCAGGGAAGCCCCGATCCATGAAGGACACAAACAAAACATCAGGTCCTCTTTTGAGGTGTGTGAACTCTGGAATGCAGCAAGTTTATACTGAGAAGGAAAACTATATACTCCTTCCACTAACAGCGAGATGGATTACTTCTGTGGAAGCATTAAAAATGTTAAGGACAATTGACAGATGAATGGATAAAGAAGTTGTGGTACATATACACAATGGAATATTACTCAGCCATGAAAAAGGAATGAATTTGAGTTAATTGTAATGAGGTGGATGAACCTAGAGCCTGGTATTCAGGGTGAAGTAAGTCAGAAAAACAAATTTTGTTTATTAAAACATATATGGACTCCAGAAAAACAGTACTGATGAACCTATTTACAGGGAAGGAATGGAGACAGACACAAAAAATGGACTTGGGACACAGCAGGGATAGGAGAGGGTGGGACGAATTGAGAAAGTAGCATTGACAAATATACACTACCATGTATAAAATAGACAGCTAGAGGGAAGCTTCTGGATAACACAGGGAGCCTAGCCTGGTGCTCTGTGATGACCTAGAGGGGTGCGATGGAGGCTCAAGAGGCAAGGGATACACACACACACACACACACACACACACATACACACAGTTATGACTCATATGTGATGTTGTACAGCAGAAGCTAACACAACATTTTAAAGCAATTATCCTCCAGTAAAAAATTTTTTAAAATGTTATGGACACTGACAACCCTGATTGGTTTTATGATGACTTGTGTTGCGCTTCCCTGAAATGATGTTAGACACTGTGCTCAAGGGGCCCCCCGTGTGTGAATTCCCCATATAATGCCTTTAATGGAAGAACAAGGAAATACAAAGAATTACAAGGTAAATTTGTACAGCTTCTAGTAATGGGCTTTGCCAATGAAAAGAAAATTTAAGCTATGCAGAATTAGGGTAATGGGCTGGGGTAAACCAGAACAAAGCAAATAAACATTGAATTGAGTAGAACTATTTATATGATCAAAACAAAACAAAAACCAAACAAACAGAGGATAAGAATGAGGGGGAGTAAAGAAGCAAGAATTTTGACAGGGACCCTACGGAGAGTTTGGTGGCACATTAACGATGACTGGGAGCAGGGAAACCTACTCTAGCTCCTACTCTTAGCACCACCTCACCTAAGTTAACTTAAATCTGTTCCAGTTATCCCAGCCTGGGTGAGTTTAGGGCTAAGGATACTGAAGATAAGAGGGAAATCAGGTGTGTTTAGCACAGAGAAGTTATTTTATTTCATCTATTAGGACAACTAATAGATGTGGGAGAAAAGGACAACTAACTTGAGGGTCAGGAAGTCTTCAATTGACCTCTGGTAGGAGGTCCAAGATTGTATGATACAGTTTATGTTGAGTGGCAGAGGATAGTGGAAAATCTTTGGGGGATTATCTAACTGTGGTGCAAAATGTACTGTATTATCATCAGGGGAATGGAAGGACAATGAAATCAAAGGTATGAAATCAAAATTTAGGACAAATGAAAATGTTATGGTGTGTGCATGCATGCTCAGTCACATCAATTTTGTCTGACTCTTTGCAACCCCATGGACTGTAGCCCACCAGGCTCCTCTGTCCGTGGGATTCTCCAGGCAAGAATACTGGAGTGGGTTGCCATGCCCTCTTCCAGGGGATCTTCCTGACCCAGGGATTGAACCCATGTCTGTTATGCCTCCTGCATTGGCAGGCAGGTTTTTTACCACTAGCCCCGCCTGGGAAGCCCGAGTGTTATGGTAGGCAGCACCAGAATCACAATGAGGCTAAAGCTGGAGAAATAAAGTAGGAACTATCCAGTGCTTGCCATTCCCCAAATCTCTAATTAGAGTGGATGTGATGAAGTGCCTTGTCACTACTAGCTTAAAGCTATATGTCTTTTAAGAGAGAGAAGTTTGCCCTTTTATATGTTTTCAATTAAACACACAAAAGGAAAGCCCTGAGGACTGCTCAGACCCCTGTTCATAGTTAGTACCAGGCAGTGTCAGGTTCGGGAAAGACATAGGAAACCTCATCTCTCATTAGGAAACAATGCAAACAGCAGCGCTAATCTCCACCAATGCTTTCTATTAATCCTCTGTGGTCCACAAGAAAAAACCCTTGGAAATAACTGTTAGTGATCGTGATTTAAACAAGGTAGCTGGACTTCCCTGATGATCCAGTGGTTAAGACTTCACTTTCCAATTCAGGGGACATGGGTTTGATTCCTGGTCGAGGAGCTAAGATCCCATATGCTTTCAGGGTCAAAAAACCAGAACATAAACAAAAGAAGCAATATTTTAACAAATTCAATAAAGACTTAAAAAATGGCCCACATTTAAAAAATCTTAGAATAAGCAAGGTAGTTACCATAATTTAAGTTAGTGTCTGTCGTACCAAGTATTTTTAAAAAACCATATAAGAAGTTCAACAAACTAACTTTGCAATATTTTTTGTGACATTGATGCCGTCTTCTTTTTTTTACATTTATTTGACTACAGTTGGTTTACAATATTGTGTTAGTTTCAGGTATACAGCTTCAGATTGTTTTCCATATAGGTTATTACAAGATACTGAATATGGTTTCATGTGCTAGATGGTAAATCCTTGTTGTTTATTATATTTAGTGGCGTGTATCTATTAATCACATACTCCTAATTTATTACTACTCTCCTTTTCCCTTTGGTAACCATAAATTTGTTTTCTATATCTGTGAGTCTGTTTTTGTTTTGCAAGTGAGTTGATTTGTACTTTTTTTAAAAGATTTCACATATAAGTGATATCGTGATATTTGTCTTTGTCTGACTTACTTTACATAGTGTGATAATCTCTAGGTCCATCCGTGTTGTTGTGGATGACATTAGTTCATTATTTTTTATGGCTGAGTAATATTCCGTTGTGTATATGTACCACATCATCTTTACCCATTCATCCATCAGTGGACATTAGGCTGCTTCCATGTGTTGGCTGCTATAAGTATTGCTGCTGTGAACATTGGTGTGTGTGTAACTTTTTGTTTTCCACTCTTCCAAATGTATGCCCAGGGGTGGTAGTCTTTTTAGGAACCTCCAGACTGTTTTGCATAGTGGGTGCACCAACTGACATTCCCATCAACAATATAGGAGGGTTCCCTTCACAGCTATGGTATCTTCTGATCTCACTCTCAGAGCAAGATCAGTTTCCTTATACAGGAAAAGGAATGTATAATATGTTTATGGTTCTTCCTCAGCGACATCTGACCTTGGGGATTCCAACTCACGGCTACAATTTGGTGAGACTATATTTAGAGATGATCACTATCAAAATGAAGTTAATTCATTATACTGATTACATCATGATCATTCCCCACCCTGGAAGGAGACAGTCAGGAGATATGAGAGCTGTTACTGGTCCATATGATGCATAGAATCAATCCAGTTTAGATTAAGAGTTTAGCTAAATCAGTGACATTTCTAAAGCTAGCTTAGGGCCTCTAGAGGTGTTATATAAACAAACAATATATTACTCCCCCTCCAGGACTCTTGTCAATAAAAAGGAGGCTGCTGCTACTGCTGCTGCTGCTAAGTCGCTTCAGTCGTGTCCGACTCTGTGCGACCCCATAGACGGCAGCCCACCAGGCTCCCCCGTCCCTGGGATTCTCCAGGCAAGAATACTGGAGTGGGTTGCCATTTTCTCCTCTAATGCATGAAAATGAAAAGTGAAACTGAAGTCGCTCAGTCGTGTCCGACTCTTAGACGGACTCATGGATGGAGGAGCCTGGCAGGCTGCAGTCCATGGGCTTTTCCAGGCAAGAGTACTGGAGTGGGGTGCCATTGCCTTCTCCGAAAAAGGAGGCACCACGCCTTAAAGGAATATTTGATAAGCTATGAAAAATATATCATAGGTACTGGCCCAAGGCTGCTGCTGCAACCCTCGGTTCTAACACATTCATAACACAAGTTTACATTATTCATACGTAAGTTTCTGATACCACAATATATTCACATTGGAAACTTTGAATTAAATATAACACTGCCACCTCGTGGTGACCACTGGGATTTGGGGCTCAAAAAGTTCCTGATGATGGCACTAAGAGAGCCAGTTTGCCAGCATGCTGTTTGTGCTCTGGTATAAACAGTCCCCATGGCGCTAGTGGTAAAGAACCTGCTTGCCAGTGCAGAAGATGGAAGAGACATGGGTTTTATCCTTGTGTTGAGAAGATCCCCTGGAGAAGGGCATGGCAAGCCACTCTAGTATTTGTGACTGGAGAATCCCATGGACAGAGGAGTCTGGTGGGCTATAGTCCATAGGATCGAGAGTTAGACATTACTGAAGCAACTTAGCACACATAAACAGTCCCCATAACCTAAGAGTGGCAAACTATATTAAGATCTGAACTACCTGTGTTATAATATGGGTGATATCACAAAGAAGCTGCACAACAAAATTCTCAAATACAATGAAATTCATGTCCTGAGAAGTGTCTCTGTGGAGTTATAAGATATAGCAGGCAGCATCTCTGCTTTTGGACTAATTCGAAGTTCACTTCTGTTGCTAAACTGTCTAAACCTCATGACTCTCTCCACTAAAATGAGACAACTTTCTTGGTTTATCCATGAGACCCTGCATAGTACAAACCTGAATATAAAAAGCAGCTACTGTTTGTTCTATAGACAGTAAAAACAGATGATGTCAAAGTAAGTTCAAGCAGTGGGCCGAATTGAGAGCATATAAGACGGTGGAGGGAGAACTTAGTTCTTTGCCTCGGGCAATGTTTGGACATGTTAGAAAGAGTTATAGGCAGTAACCAATAAGTGAATCTGGGTGATGCCCCTATTGGTTACTACCTGTAAGTTATATAATACTGTACTTCAATGAAAATAAAAGTTTATTCTGGTCCCAGTTTCTTCTCCACACACTTGCCCCCAGTCCCCCAGTGAAATGGAAAGAATCCAAAACCTGAGAGGAAAAGGGGGCCACACCATGGAAGGGCCTGGAATCCCAAGCGATCACATAGAAAACTGCTGGTCAGTTGGACATTACTTGAGCAAGAGCAAAACGTCTATTGTATTAATTCATGGAGGTTTCGAAGTTCATGTGTTCCTAGAGCTGGTTTACTTTAATTAATTGGTTGTTAATATGTTTAAATCATCACTATGAAGTAAATAAATAGTGAATATGAAGATAATGTGTTTGGATTTATGACTTAGACTATATATACAGATTTAAATTATAATAGCATACAGTTTATAGTAAAATGTACAGAAGTAAGCAGTAAGCTTGCCTTTTCAGTATTTGGATCTAAGAGTCTTGATGCAAATACAAAGTGTTTCTACAACTGTCGAGTGTGTCACACAGAGCCTGGGTGTTGTGAATAAATCCATCATCCTTTTGAGCCTAGCATCATGGCCTCCTTGGGTTTTCCAACAGAGATGAACTCTGTGGATAAATTAAAGCACCAGCTCTTTTTCCATTGGATCTCCTGATTTGCTCCTTCCAATACCAACAAAAATCTAGTGACATTCAGAAGCAGTTAAGAGCCAAATTTAGAAAGATTCAACAGTTAGAAACTCTTGGCTATTATATTGCTTCCCTTCAGTTTAGCAGTATGGAAAATAATCCTAGGACTTTTTTCTGGGCAAATGGACTTGTTCAATTAGGCCTGTTTACACCGAGGTTTTTCTTTATATATAACAGTGATGGCCTTGTAAGTTATCAATGTAACTACGCCTACCAAAATTTTGTTGGGCTCTCATTGTACCTTACCCATGAGGTTTATGTGTACAGGCTTGTTTCAGTATATTTATTGTTTATTTGGGGAAATTAGGCTCTGAAGCAGTTTTTCCTCCTGTGAGTCCCATGGTCTCCTTGGAAACAGGCCTCCGGCTTCTGCCCACAGCCAGCTCTTTTTCTCCCAGAGCCGGTCTACCTGGTCTGGTAAAGAAGCAGGAAGCCCTCTTTCCCCAGGCATCCATGCACAAGTATTCTCTATACCATTAACCTTCTTAACCACTGACATGAATGTCTGGAAGTACATTTCTTAGTAAAATCATCAATTATTCAATCTGCTTTAAATACATTTCTCCCTTAACCATGGATGTAACTCAGGCTCACCTCGGGGATCTCTGCCCCTATAGCAAAATGAAAGGCAGATACCTGATACACTAAAAGCATTCAGAGAAGCGGTCTGCTGTAGCCACAATTTGATTCATGAAACACGGAAAACTTGAGGCCTTGAGGTGGAAAAGAGTTGAACGGTCAGGGAGGAGACTGGGTATCCTGGACTGTGTGTAAATATCAAGAGAAAAGGCACAGAAAGAGAAGAGTGAACATGACATGTTCAGGATAGAATAGAGTCTGGCAGGTCCTTAAGGCATGTAAGGGAATATCAGGAAATACACTTGAGAAAGCAGAGAGCATGGATTGAGCTTTATCACTAAGGAAGAATGGAGCTACTTAAATAAGACAGTTGACACTAGGGAACTGGTGATCTACTGGAGTAAAAAGTGGACTGCAGAGTGTAGATACTACAGATAGTGTGGCCAGCCTGAGTATCATCATAAGAATATGGCTATTGGGGTAGTGCAGAGCAACAGAAATGCAGGTCTGGAAGATGAGACATTTCAAAGGAGGACTTTAAAGATTTATAAATCATGGGGCATAATGAAAAAGAGTACATTGATCAGGAAAACTATGGTGACCTTGACAAAAGTCAGATGACTGTGGGAAGATAGCTAGGTCGGGGAGGAAGTTTGAACATCATCTTTCGGGATATCCAAGAAGTGCTGAGAAGACAGGTAATGAGACAATGGAGCTCAGGTAAGAGAACAATGAAATATTGATTTGGAAATTCCTTTGTGCTGGATAGCTGGGTGCTCCCACTTCAGTGTGCTCTGCATCTTTTCCCACCCTGCTTCATATGCTGGGAGGAAGGGTCGTATAATATAGCATATAGTACATCAAGCTGAAGTTCCTTTTCTTTTGGTTTCCAGTAGAGTTTAGCCAGTAGGAAGCACTGGCATGAGACTGAAGGGATGGAGGGGAAGAAAGTAGAGGCATTTATTCCTCTGGGCTTCCTCTTTTGGCATCTGGGTAGATCACTGCTTAACTGAAGGCCACCACTTCTAGCCTTTCACTCATGACTAAACGCATCTTAAATGGCATGCTCACGCTGGCTTGTGTTCAAATCTTTCTCCTGTCATGGGGCTAGAAACTGGCCCAGCCCGTGGTGCAGTGCTGGTTTGGAGGAGTAGTCGAATGATTGCTACCAGACACTGCCAGGGAACCCCAAATAAGAAGAGAGATCAGAGCAGAGAACCCAAAACGCAAACCACATTTAACCTGCCCAGAGAGTGTAACCCTACTGATGTTCTCCTAGTGTTTCCCAGTTTGGGGTAAAAATCTGAGAAACTGATACCTTGAACTTGGCTGAGCCCAGCAAATCTCTTTTGGGCTGTTGCTCATTGTATTCCAACCACTCCCCCCAACACAACTTGACTCCCTGCTCCTTTCTTGGGGGATGGGGTACCAAAATATTTAAAAATAAAGGTAAGGGGATTAAACTGAATGTCTAGTCTTGGTCACTCCCCACACAAAAGTCTAAGCCTCCCAAGTCATGGGCACTGGCAGCTACTGTTTAAGGCTGTGCTGTGTGTGTGTTAGCCACTCAGTCCTCTGTCCATGGGATTCTCCAGGCAAGAATACTGGAGGGGGTTGCCACGTCTTCCTCGCGGGGATCTTCCCAACCCAGGATCAAACCCTTGTCTCCCACATTACAGGAGGATTCTGTACCATCTGAGTCACCAGGAAAGTCCATTTAAGGCTAGAAAATTCCAAGTAAAGACACATATTTTCTTTAGGAAATTGTTGTCCATGTACAAAGTTTGTATGAGAAGAAAGGAACCGCTTCCAGCTGTGCAACTTGCAGCTAGTTGCTCAGCATATTAGGAAGATGATGCTATTTTCATTTTATACTTTGAAAAAAAGATTGAGATTTTATGAGGACTTAATGAGGTCATGTATGCAAACTGTTTAGGCCAGTCTGGCTAAAGCGGCATCTTACAGGACAATAAAGTTATTGAGCATTCACCTGGAGTGGGAGCTTTCGCATAGTTTATTTCATTTAATTATCAGCAGCCCTGGCAAGCAGTTCAGGATAGAAGGCAAAAACTGCTGCTGGGGGAAGGGGGCTGGGTGCGTGTGTGGGTTGGGGGTGGGTGGGATGAGTGGGGGAGCTAGTTTCCCTGTGCAGCGGCGCGCGCAGCGCACGGCGCGTGCCAGTCCTTAGCCGGCGGCGTGGTTGCTGCGTGCTCTGCTATTCTAGCTGCCGGTTGCCGCCGCCGTCGAAGCGGCACCATGAGGACCAGGCACGTGAACCTGCTCATCACGCTCGTCGCTGTCGTGCTCTTCAGCTTCTCCTGCTTCTGCATCTCCAGGATGACTCAAACTAGTAAGCTGCTCCTGGCTTCTCCCGCCTTTTTTCTCGGTTCTGGGGCTTCTGGGCTCCGAGGTGACTGGAGCGGCCGGGTTGGAGAAAAGTGGGAAGATGTGGTAGCATGACGGCTGTCTCTCGCTCTCACATTAGGGACTTTCAGATGTGACTCCCACACCCAACCACCACCACGCCCTTAACCGGCCAGCGGTTAAACTGTAAAGAGCGCCCTGGTTCACCGGGTGGTCGTGACCCCTGCGGGGCGCGCGCGAATGGTCGGTCCGCGGGGCTCCCGGGTCCTCTCACCTCTGCGGGCTCTTTTCCCCTCAGAATGGGGGGCTCCTTCCGTGCCCCGCATTCCCCACAGTTCGTCGTTCTTTTCCCCATCTTTTTTTTTTTTTTTTTTAAATATGAATGTCTTACTTCAGGAACTCCTTTTACACAGCCTGCCTCTTTTCCTCTTTCGTGTTCTATCAAAACGTCATGGTTTTGAGCCACACGTCAGGGCTCCCTAGCGTGTTTTGTTTTGTTTTGTTTAGAGATGAGGTGACTGGGGGAGAGACACTATGAATTTAGAGTGCTTGTTTAGCACCTGATCTTCCTCAAATGGACCATGTGTTTTAGTTTATGGTTGTCTGTAGGGTTACCGATTTAGCAAGTAAAAATGGAGGTTGTCATCTTAAATTTGAATATCAGAGGAACAATTAATGCATTAGTTTGAAGTACAAAAACTGCATGGGATATATTTATACAGAAAATATTATCATTTGTCTGAAATTCAAAGTTAACTAGGTTTCCAGTATTTTTTCTTTCAGCTGTAGTCCATAGTGAGCATATATATAGTTGAATTTTGAATTTAAGACTCAGGAATCCGGCAAATATATTAACTCAGCCTTTCAAGATTACTCTTATATATTAACTCAGCCTTCCAAGATTATTCTTAGGTTGTTTTTGGTTAAATTTTAATTCTTCTTATTAAACACATTTATGTATGACTCAGGGTGCACACTAAGTAATCTTAGTAGTAACGGGCCAGTGCAAGCAGGAAGAGAATTGTAGAAGAGATCGTGGAGACCACAGTAAGAGTTATGACTTTTATTCTGAGTGAGATAGGAAGCCATCTAACAAGTGTTGGTAAAGATGTGGTGAACAGAGAGACCTTCCTCATTGTTAATGGGAATGTAAATTGGTGCAGCCACTGTGGAAAACAGTAATGGAGGCTCCTGCAAACATTAAAAATAGAACTATCAGGGAGATTAGTTCAAGATGGCAGAGTAGAAGAATGTGCACTCATCTGCGAGAGCACCAAAATTGCAACTATTTCACAACCGTTGACAAGAGGACGCTGGAAACCACCAGAAAAAAGATATCCCACGTCCAAAGACAAAGGAGAAGTTGTAATGACATGGTATGAGGTGTGCAATCACAGTAAAATAAAATCCCATACCCACCCAGTGGACAACCCACAAACTGGAAAACAATAATACCAAAGAAGTTCTCCCTGTGTTGGGAAGGCTCTGAACCCCACATCAGGCTTCCCAGCCTGGGGATCCAGCCAAAGGGCTGGGACTAGGACTCCCCAGGGAATCTGACTTTGAAGGTCAGTGAGATTTGATTACAGGACTTCCACAGGACTGGGGAAAGAGAGAGACTTCATTCTTGGAGGGCACAAGCAAAATCTTGCATGTACCAGTACCCGCGGTAAGGAGCAGTGACCCCACCGGAGACTGAACCAGACCTCCCTGCTCATGTTGGAGGATCTCCTGTGGCGGCGTGGGGCAGCAGTGGCTGACCGAGGAGATGAGGCATTGGCAGCAGCAGTCCTGGGAGGTGACCCTGGGGGTGAGCCCTCTTGGAGCTCACTATTAACCCTACCAAAGAGCCTGTAGACTCCAGGGCCGAGTCGCCTCAGGCCAAACGACTTACAGGGAAGAAATGCAACCCCACCTATCAGCAGACAATTAGATTAAAGTTTTACTGAGCGTGGCCCTGCCCACCAGAGCAAGAGCCAGCTTTTCCCAGAAAGCTTCTCATCAGGAAGCTTACACAAGCCTGTTAGCCTCATTCACCAGACAGCAGACAGAGACGCAAAAGAAACCCTGCAATCCAACAGCCACCAGAACAAAAACCGCATCACAGAAAGTTAATCAAAAGGCAGAGGGCCATGGCCCAGATGGAGGGACAAGACAAAACCTCAGAAGGACAACTAAATGAAGTGGAGATAAGCAACCTTCTAGAAAAGGGGCTCAGAATAATGATAGTGAAGATGATCCATAGTCTCAGGAAAAGAATGGAGAAGGTGCAAAAAAGGTTACCAGAAACCTAGAAGAACTAAGATACAAACAAACAGAGATGAACAATACTCCAGAAGGAACCAAAGCAGAGTGAATATTGGTTATTAGTTATAGGCGGAAGAGTGGATAAGTGACCTGGAAGACAGAATGATGGAAATCACTGCCACAAAACAGAATATAGAAAAAATGACGGAAAAAAAAAAGCATAAGAGACCTCTAGGACAACATTAAATGCACCTATATTTGCATTATAGGGGTCCCAGAAGGAGAAGAGAGAGAGAAAGGACTGGAGAAAATATTTGAAGAGATAATAGCTGAAAACTTCCTTAACGTGGGAAAGGAAATGGTGTCAACCAAGTCCAAGAAATTCAAAGTCCCAGGCATAATCAAACTGACAAAAAGACAAAAAAATAAACATAAAATATTAAAAACAACAAGGGGAAAATAACAAATAACATACAAGGTATCTCCCATAAGGTTATCAGCTGTTTTCTCAACAGAAACTCCAGAAGTCAGAAGGGAATGGCATGATGTATTTATAGTGATGAAAGAGAAGAACCTAAAACCAAGAATACTCTACTCAGCAAGACTCTCCTTCAGATTTGACAGAGAAATCAAAAGAGTTACAGATTAGCAAAAATTAAGAGAATCCAGCACTACCAAACCAGCTTTACAACAAATGCTAAAGAACTTCTCTAGGCAGGAAACACAAGAGAAGGAAAAGGCCTACACAAAATAAATCCAAAACAGTTACGAAAATGGTAATAGGATCATACATATCAATAATTACCTGAAATGTAAATGGATTATACGCACCAACCAAAAGCCAGACTGGATGGATGGATGAAAACATGTACATGTATGTACTTGGACTTACCACATCACTCTGCTTGACCCTCCCCCAAATTGTATGTAATTATTTTATATTGTTAGGTTATCATGTTTTCATTGTGGCTTGCAATTGTTATCTTTTATTTTTTGTCTGGCTATTGATTATGAAAACTAGTAAACATCTTTTATTATTTTGTAACTATTTTTTGTTTTAATACCATTGTATCATGATTGGTCAACAGAAAATAATTTTATATCACTAAAACTACCATTTAATAGAAAAACTTGTAGTCACTTTTTAAAATCCAGATGCACATTAGAATTATCTTGGAATTTTTTGAAAAATACAAATGCTCAGGTATTGTTATTTTCCTCCAAAGCTCAAGATGTGAATCTAATGAGCAACCATGTTTAAAAACAACTGGACTATATGATGGTGTTTTATCTTGTTTATTTCACTTTTTCTATTTCATATTCAGTGCTCCCATTTAATTTAGTTTATCTTTTCCAATTTCTCCATCTCTTTTTGTTGTTGTTCTTTCTCAAGCCTTGATCAAATGTAGTAAAAAAGCTTTTGTAATTCTGAGAATATAAAGAAATACTATGTTGTTTAAAAAAATCAAGAAATTAACACATGATACAGTATTATTAACTAAAGTACAGATTTTGTTCAGATTTCACAAAATTTTATGCTAGTGTCCATTACTTGTATTCATACTTTATTCAAGATTCCACATTGTGTTTAGTTGCATTGAGCAGCTTTGGCTGCATGCAGCAAATTCTGATAAATTCCCTTCTCATTTTTATTCTGTTACAAATATTTTCTAATTTTTCTTGTTACTTCTTAGATACACTCATCATTTAAAAGTGGACATTTGATTTCCAATACTTGGGGTTTTAAAAATATCTTTGATATTAACTTCTCATTTTGATATTTAAGTACTTTCTTCACTGCAGTCAGCCTCTGTGTTTTTTCAGTCTTTTAACTTTATTGAGGCTTTCAATGGCTAAGTCAAAGATCTCTCTTGATAAATGTCTCACTGTACTTGAAAATATGTGGTTATTTTCAAGTATCTTTTGATATTGATTTCTAAAGTAATTCCACAGTGACAAGAGAACAGACTCTGTATGATTTCAATACCTTTAGACCATGAGATTTTTGCGCCTTGCTTTATGTCCCTCGATATGTTCCAGTGACTCCTGGTTTATAGTGTATGGGAACATGAATAGAATTTATATCCTGTTGTGTGAACATTGTATAAATCTTAATTATGTTGAATTGGTTCATAGTGCTTTTCAGGTCTACTGTATCCTTCTGCTTTTCTGTCTATTCATTCTATTAATTTTTGAGAGTTTGATGTTGAAACTCAACTAAATATCTTAATTTATCTACTTAAAAATAATTGTAATATATAGTGAAACTATATGTAACTTAGTTCTGTGTTTTCTAAGTCCCCAAGTAAATAATCATAATTTGAAAAAGAAAAAAATACTTTTAGAAAAAAAATAGAACTGCCATATGATGCAATAATTCCACTTCTGGGTACTTATCTGAAAGAAAGGAAAACTAGAATATTACTCATGCTTTTGCTTCCAACAGTGGATTACTGAAATTGAATAATTCCTTTCCTGAATTATGTGCTTATTGTTTCTTTGCTTTTTAGAATATAGTCTTCATCAGTTTATACATGTCCCTTATAATATGCTGTTTAGTTTGCTTTGTCCCTGAGCTCTCTAAAACTCCCATCTGCTGACAGTCTTTATACACCCTTCTAAATTCTCTGTCATGATCAAAACCAGTAGTCTGTTAGATGCCCTGGTCAGCTGTGTTCTCATTCCATCTTGCCAGTGAGAGGCATTTGTGCCAGATTAGAGGATGCACAAAGGTAGTAG